GTTACAGGTGCTTCTCTACTTACCAACATTCTACTCACCAACTTTCAAAGACAAACATCATCATTGGGGGGGGGGGGTTACTTGCCAGGCAGGTGTTTAATGTGGATGAGACAGGATTATATTGGAAAGAAAACTCCTGATACAATATACACTGCAAAAGGGGAGAAAATTATGCCAAGTTTTAAGGTTGTACTGCAGGGTAATTGCTGTACTGTACTGCACATCCTTATTGTTCATTTTTATTAAATATGTTCCATATCTGCAAGAGCACAGTTGGACCTGCAAACAAATGGACTTGGGAACAAGTCTCAGGAACATAACCCATTTGTAAGTAGAGGAGCATCTGTACTCAATATTGTACACGCACAACATCCTCTGTAACTGGCTGTGAAGCCTCTGTTCAGATCACTAGATAAACCCTTAAAACTATCTTTATCTGTAAACTGTTACATTAAAACTTAAAATTGTGGGCATATAAATAACAATAACAAAAGCATATAAAAAGCTGTAATAAATGCATAAAAAGAATATAAATTATACAAGTTAGTGTACGGTACACACTACGTCACAACCTCAAGGATGGTGGTCACCTTAACACTAGCCTTAGCAACGTATCCCAGTTGAGACGCTGCCCTGCTACCTTTTCTAGCAACCACCACACAACTTCATAGTGGGATATTTTTTTTTTCTTTTTATACTTTCTGTATGTAGGATTGTGTGTGAATATGACTGAGTAAAAATAAATGAAGAAGAAAGCCCTTCCATGATACCCCCTATTGACCACATACAGTACACACGCACACACAGATTTATGCAAAGTACAATACTGTACAGTAGTAGCTCATCCAATGCAAATTTGCCTATACACATGAAATTATTTGTGTCACTAATTTACCCAACCGTGGGAAAACCATAGGGGATTAAAACTCACAACCTTGTACCAGTTCCAGCAAAAGCTCCAGGCTTTACACCTTTCCCCGTCATACAACCAGACCTAAACTGACTTCAATTCACACAGGTTCTTGACTCCCCATGGAAGTGGCAAGCAAGGCCCTTTTTCATATAGTAAAGACTGCCAACTACAAATTATGCCCCTCTAAACAGCAGACCTGCTCTCTTGATAATGTTTCCTATAAGTGGTATATATCAGGTTCTGTTTCTCCAGTGTGACATTTTTGGATTTTATCTCCATTGTAACTGGGAAGGGAATTATCATCAAAGACTGATTGTACTATACAGTATTGTAATTTATTTCTTTTAGTAAAAACTATAAAGTAGATTATTGGTGGCAAATTTCTACTAATTTTAGAGGATATTTGCTTACAAAGCTGTGAAAATTTAGATCTTAAATTAGTAGTTAGGCTGTTAAAGACTACCGTGAACAATGATTACTCTTGGTGGCAGGTCGTCAAGGACAGCCTGGACCTCCAGGATATGAAGGTCCTCCAGGAGTGAAGGGAATAATTGGCGCTGTTGGACGTCCAGGAATTAGTGGTTTTGATGGAACTCCTGGACGGACGGTAAGTGTGTTTTATTAATGCTGTGATGATTTTTTTTTTATTAAATTACTGTAATTATTCTATATTTTCTTAGTTATTTCTCGGGCAATTCTCAAGTCTTTGCTCTACTTTCTCTCTACCCCCAGTGCTTCATAAGGACTCTTCACTCTCAGTCAGCTTCTTACTTCTTTGACTCTTAACTTCAACATATCTTAGACATATTTTCTTTGTTATTTACTCCATACATATTATATCATTCCAGCTTCACTTGTTACTTTAACCCTTATGGTTCAGGTCACATGCAATGACGTGTGTCAGTAGTGCTTAGGGTCACGTCACATGACATTTTGATCTTTCACGGGCCTATTTGAATAGAAAGAGCGTGCTTGGCTAGATTATGTTGCCAAGTATGTAATTATTTTTTACTCACTCACACATGAAAGCCTCCCAGACTTTTCTCAGTAACTTCTCAGTCTTTGTGATGTAGGAATCTTGCCCTTGGACTTCACCCTATGTTTCTACCACCCCCCCCCTCCCAACCCCCAAGCAAAAGTCTAGTACAGGGGATTGTGATCAATTACTGGAGCAGTAAGGATGATTGTTAAGAGTGTAAATAGTAATAAAACAAGTGTCCTGTATCCATATCACCTTCAAATTAGTGTCATTTACCTCATTACTATTGAATCACACACACACACACATGCCACTTCATGAACATGCTTGACTCTTCCTAGCCCAGGTGTTGCCAACCTGTGGTTAGGACATTTATTCATTTCCTGTTTATTTTATGCATGGCCAGTTTGTAAGACTAGATTTGCTTTTTATTTGTTTTTAAATGTTCCCAAATATACCCACAAAAGGGGGTTGCCGACCATAGCCCGAAGCCCCGGGGTTAATTTAACTTTACTGCCGTGTTACCATAAAGGTATTTACATTTTCCAAGTCTTGGAATAACAAGGACCTTAACTTAGTCTTCAGTGATGGAGAATTTGATGGAGGGAGAGTGTGGGATATTTGTCTCTTGAGTATCTTTAAAGTTTTAGTTTCCTCATCTACTTAATTTCTATAAACACTTTAAGTACTGTATGTCACTTTTAATATTTCGTTTGACTAATGCAAGATGATTTTATTCAGCACAGAGAGGCCCCTCGTACACAATGGGTGAAAAAAAATAGAAATTACATTTTTAAATGTCAAATTTACAAATTCAACACATTCATAAATGACCTCTACATGTGATAGAGCAGCACAATGCACCTGTGAGGAACTAGGACAGAGGTTCTTAACCTTTTTTGCCCAATTTCCCTCTTTTCCATCTTCCACTAAAGACACTTCCCCTCCCAATTCTTAACACTTGAGGCTCCATAGACCATACCTGAGATTGAGTTGTGAAATCTCATTTTATGGCAGAAAGGTAAAGTTTGAAATCCCTGTTGGTCAGGTTGGGAATTGTGGCAAGTAAACTGGAGAATCAGAAGAACTCCTGAACTGTTGTCTCAGTGGTTCCTGAGATAGTGATTAAATCCTAATTTAGCAGTTGTTTCAACTGGGTAAGAGAGAGAGTACAGACATATCATCTGCAACAACTGCTATCTCTATGAACATTACTGTACAGTACTAGCAGGACTATAGGTCACTTGTTGCTCTTCACTGCCATAAGAGTTTATTTTGTACCTCAATTCCTGATTTTTATTTACTGAAGAAATACAAGAAAGAACCCTAAGGAGATGACTAAAGACACATATCATTACTTTATATACACCAATAACTCAGGTCATGAAGGTAAAATAATTAATCAGATAACTAAATCTTACCTTTGTGTTTCAGGGTGTGAAAGGCTTCCCAGGTGAAATAGGTTTCCGTGGTCCACCTGGAATAAATGGAACCTTCTCTGGTCATGGAGATTTTGGTGTAAAAGGTTTGTTGTTCATATTTCAATATTTAGTTATACAGTATTTATTTTGTTCTTTCTTGTCTGCACACTTTGTAAATGGAAGACAGATGAATGAAAATCATTTTATGATTCAGAGGAGGAATAATGTGATGCATCAACATCTGCTCACTAAACATCTAGCATCTTATCTGGGGCTTTATCTGATGGAAAATGTTCAGTAGTTGAATGGCTGGTGCACAAAGCTAAAAAAAATACCTAGATAATGTTTCATTATATAAGGCTCTTCCACTCAGTTGATTTATGACTTCTTTGAACCCGTGACAGACTCAAAACCCAACTGTTTTGACCAAATTTATTGCTCTTGTCCTATTATAAAATAGACTTTACAGATCACCTTACCATCAGCTACCAGGACCTGTGAGTCACTAGATTCACAGCATTTCCTCATTCTCTGGCTTTCATAAGATCAGATGCGACCTACTGGTGCCAATACTGTCTAGTACAGTATAAGTGTTAGGAATTTTATATGTTCATATTGTAATCTCGTCACTGGGGTTTACCACACAGTATTAATCACAGTTACCTGAGTTACAAAGGCATTGAAGTGAGTGATCAGGCAAGTTTAAACTACATCTCAGTGAAAGGTTGCTGTTGTTCATTAGCAACTAGTATGTTAAGCTGACTTTTACTTCCACCGAGCTGCAATAACTTTGTGTCATTTGCTTAATTCATTCAATCTTTAAATGTTTATTGGAAGTTAATTGTGCCATAAGAGATTCTGTCACTCTTTCTTAGTCATGACCTAAAGCTAGGCTTGCCAAATAATATTCGTTCCTTTCATCTGGATATTAATCATTGGTTTTGAAGTTTTGGGTGACAGAAATTTAATATTTTTTTGAGGAACTTTGCAGCAACAATTACAGTACTATAATTATTAATGAGGAAATCCATATACAGTAGCTACCAAATGAGGCCACTGCAGTAGTAAGGGCACAAGTGACAATTTTTAAAAATAGAGAAAAGGCAATTAAAGTTTGGTAAACAATAAAATGTGAATATCTTTGGAACCAACCATACGATTTATGGTTGGATAAATCGTATGGTTAGTTCCAAAGATATTCATGTTTTAATGTTTACCAAACTATAATTGCCTTTTCTCTATTTTTAAAAAGTGTCACTTGTGCCCTTACTACTGCAGTGGCCTCAAATAAAGAAAACAAATGCAAACCCAAGGAAGCTCTTTTTATTTTAATTCACTGACTGATTTAGTTTACTCCCAGAGATTTTTATGCAGCAGTACAGTACAGTACAGTACAGTACAGTACAGTACAGTACAGTACAGTGCAGTACAGTACAGTACAGTACAGTGCAGTGCAGTGCAGTGCAGTGCAGTGCAGTGCAGTGCAGTGCAGTACAGTACAGTACAGTGCAGTGCAGTGCAGTACAGTACAGTACAGTACAGTACAGTACAGTACAGTACAGTACAGTACAGTACAGTGCAGTACAGTCAAACAACAAATTCTACATTCATGATAACACTTGAGTCGTGTTATTTGTAAATGGTTAATGAGTTTTGGAAGACATTATTAGATGACTGCCTTCAGCTTGGCTTATGAGTCATATTAAAGGCCAAACTTCATAGTTTTCATCATATTTATGTAAATTTAGATAAACAACTCTCCTAAGTGACATTATTAAATTGCTCTACTGTACAAGTTTACTTTACAGCTAAATAAATCTTAGTAACTCATTCCATTCTAGTTTCTTTTGAATGACTGGAATGTTTTCAAGTACTTAATTGATTGGGAAGTTATCAAGAGTTAAGACAGAATGTAACTTAATTATTTGGTATAGGAATTAAATCTGAAGGCAAAATTACATATTTGGCCTGTAAAGTGCTGTCTGGCAGTGCCCCATATGAGCTGATGATCCACTTCTCACTTAACCAGGGCAACTGTTCCTAAAGTTATCTGTATAAGGCAGGTTATGTTAAGTTTAGCTTGTTTTTTGTGTGGTTTTTACCCCCAAAGTTTCCTTCTGCTTCAAAGCTCTGCCCACTTTGTGTAATCAAAATTTCCTTTTTTATAACTGAAATTGAAATTTTTAAATATATTCAAAAATATATATATATATAAGATGGAAAAGCTATAGAATAAAGTATCCGTTTTCTCTATCTCCCCATATAAAAATCAATACTGTATAGAGTCCCATACAAGGACACTACTGAATAATTACCGACACATCAGCTGAGTGGGCTACCGGGATGATTGTAATAAAGTCATCAAGTGGGTCTAGCTCACAGAATGAGAGCAGTGACTTAACATCATACTACACTATCAGCTCTTAGGTGTTTGTGGAGTTGTGTTGACTGTGCATTACAAGACAGTCTAAGAACAACACACAGTTAGAATTTGCAGCAAAATTTAAATGCTTAACAACATTCTCAAGCAAATTTAAAGTTTCAAGTTAAGACAGAATTTTGTTTTAACCAGACTGGCCATGTTCAGTACAGTGTTAATTAATCTGGTTAAGAGAGACCAAACTGAATTCAGTATATGTAATAATTACAACTGTTACTACACAATATATTTTCTTCCATCTCTTCAGGTAAGGAAGGTGATGTTGGACAAAATGGTCTACCAGGAATACAAGGATTAACAGGGTCACCTGGATTGCCCGGCATCAACTACACGGGAGCCAAAGGTCGTGTTGGACCCGTTGGTCTCCCAGGTAGATTTGGCGCACCCGGCAAAGTTGGACGAAAGGTACAGTACAGTATTGTAATCATGACCTTAACCATTTGATCACCCACTATAAGGCTTTTATTCTCATTAAATTTAATTGATCTTTATATCTATGGAAAGCTTGATCAAAATAAAAGTCATGCAAAATGGTATGAAGATGAAGGTCAATAACAATAAATGAAAAAGATGCTAGAATGAAAGTGTGAGAGAATATTCACCAAACTGTACTGTAGTACTATAGGTTTTGACAAGGTTTAAATTAATCCATAAACTATATTGACTGTCATCTGAATTTTCAGACTTTAAATCAAATAAACAGTTTTTCCATGTGTTTAAAATACTGTAATGTACTTATGTTGACTTTCATAATGAAATATGATCACTTACCACAATAAGAGGCACTTCATTACAACAGGGTTCAATGGGGATGATGGGTCTGCCTGGAACCAGAGGAAATCAAGGTGACGTGGGTGAAGTGGGCCTCCCAGGACCACACGGAGGGAGAGTTGTGGGTCGTGCAGGTCTTCCAGGATTACCTGGACCAAAGGGTGAAGCTGGCATACCTGGAAGATTTGGAAACAGAGGTGAGGAGTAACACATTAATTAACATATTCACTCAGCTCTCCCCACTTTTGGATTCCTAAGTAACCATTACATACCACAGAATTTGATTAATATATACATACAGTATTAACAATCAAAAGGAAAGGCAACCAATTAACTTCTTTCAATACAAGTACAGTACTTGCTCAGGAAACCAATAATGGGTCCAATTGAGGCCATAGGTCATTTATTGAAGATTCCAAATTTATCAGCTGACTGAACAACAGTACTGTACAGCATGGCAATTGTGAACAATGCAAAAATAGAATTCTGCATTATATATATATATATATATATATATATATATATATATATATATATATATATATATATATATATATATATATATATATATATATATATATATATATATATATATATATATATATATATATACAGTTGTACCCCACTTAACGCGGTCAATTGAACCCAGAGGGTCCCGCGTTAAGTGAACAACAGAACATATGGGATTAATTCCAATAGAAACCAGCCCGACCCCCAAACTCCACTTTTTGACGACACATAACTATGTTGTAGTAAAAATTCTATCTTAACTTTATGATGGTATGAAAAAACAAGTAATATAGAAGAGGTTAGGTTAGGAAAGATAAAGGTTAACATAGGAAAAATAAAGAATAGGTTAAAAAACGAAAAATTTTGTGGAACACTTACGGTAGTAGAAGAGATGGGTCGGCATACGGGGATGGAGGCTGGTTCCGAGGCAGAGGGCAGATTACTGGCCCTCAGGTGAATCACCATTACTAGGTGAATCAGCATCACTGTCACTTACAGTTGTCAGGGCTTCCCTGACAAATCCCTCAAAGTCAACTTCAATTTCACTATCACTGGCTTGGGCTGGCTGTGGTGGGTTGCGGGCGAAGAACTCGGTTATGCTTTGCTGACGGCTGGCTTTGATGTTGCCATGATACACCGTGATGTACGGCTCCATAGCCTGCACCAGTCGGGTATGGAAGACTTCATAGCGTTCATCGTCATTGTCGCGGGAAAGGACGGACTTAATTTTTTCTGCAAACTCTATGGCACACTTAATATCACTATGACTTAAACTAGGTTCTTCGGAGAATGACGCACCTTCTTCCTCCTCTTCACTGGCGTGTTCTTCTTCCAACATCTCGTCGGCAGTCACTTCAGGATCTTTGATCACCTCCAGGATGTCTTCGTTGGTGGTCTCGGAGAAGCCTTCAGCTGTAATATTGAGCGCAGCTTCTCTGGCAAGGTCCACTGCTACTGCAACAGTCTGAACCTGACCAGTCACAGGTTCACTCCTCCTCTCACCTGGTATGCCATGCAACACATGTCTCCATGCGTGACGAATCGTAGCAATAGTCAGCAGATCCCATGCCTCCACCAAGAAGTCTACAGCTTGTTTAACGTTAAACTTCTTCCAAAATTGTTTGACGAGAAGTTCTTGAGTCACCGCCTCTTGTTCCTTGTCCTCGTCGCTTTTGCTCTCGCTGTCGGTGTCACCCAGCTTACGCAACTCATCCTTGGTGTTGGTAGAGTCGTTCAGGAGCTTGAACTTCTTTGCAGAGTACGCAGCTTTCACATTGCAGATCAACTCCTGGTCCATGGGCTGGATTAATGACGTAGTGTTGGGAGGAAGGAAGACCACTTTTACGTTGGGGTGACGATCCATAAGTAGGGGCGAGTGTCCAGGTGCGTTGTCAAGGAGCAACAAAATATTGAATGGAACATTCTGTTGCTCGCAGAATTTCTTCACGTCGGGAACAAAACAGTTGTCAAACCAGAAGAGGGACAGAGAAGAGGACATCCACGCCTTACGTGCGGTTAGCCAGTGGACATTAAGCTTGTTCATGTCCATATTCTTGTAGGCGTGCGGCTTGCGGGCTGTGTGAATCACCGATAACTTTGGTTTACAGGTACCGGAGGCATTGGTGGTAAACAGGACGGTGATGCGTTCCTTCTGCAACTTCCGACCCCTTACCTTGCTGGCAGACTGGACAACGAAGGTCTTGGAAGGTAACTTTTTCCAGAAAAGACCAGATTCGTCCATGTTAAACACCTGGTCGTCACTGTACTGTCCTTCCTCCATAATCTCACGTAAAAACGGAGGAAAATCTCTAGCCGCCACACGGTCAGCACTCGCTTCCTCACCACCAATGTTGATGTTGGTGATCTTGTTCCTCTTCTTAAACCTATGCAGCCAACCAGAGGAAGCATTGAAGGGTTTGGGCTCTGCAATTCCCAGTTTACGTGACACTGCTGCGTATAGCTCACGTGCGTACTCCTGCACTGAGCGCGTGTCCACCGCCATGTTGCGTCGCGCCTGACGCACCAAATAACTCACCAGCAAATTTTCCACTTTTGCCAGCACCCTGTTCTGGCAATACCTGATAGATGAAGCACCTGCAGACTTTGTGATTTTCATGTGCTCTTTGATCTTGGCTGCATCCTTCTTGATCGTACGAATCGTAGATTCGTTGACGCCATGCTGGCGCGTGAGATCAACTTGCCGTCTTCCTTTCTCCAAATCTTGAACAATTTGGTACTTCACCTCGTAGCTTAATGAACGTCGTATCTTCTTTGGCTTAGTGCCGCTGGGTCCAGGTAAGGAAAGGTCTCTCTCTGGGGGCGGTGGTGGTCCGGCGGAAGCCATTTTACGGAACAATGGATGCGCGTTTACACGGTGTGGCCTTGAGGGATCAAACTGCCGCAGCTAGGTCAAGCATCGTCTCTCCTCCCTCCCTCCCTCCCTCCCTCCCCGGGGTGGTCACGTCATAATACTTTAAGCCAATTACAGCTAGCAGCAGGGTAAGGATGTCATAACCATCCTGATCCCGTCGTTATATGAAAAATTGATGATACTTTAACAAGACACACACTCATAGCCTTACGGCTTGCCCAAGCGGAGGGAGGAGGGAGGCAGGCAGGCAGGCGGGCAGGCGGGTGAGTGCGTGAGCGCGTGGGCCAAAATCTAAAAATAGCATCTCGGGCAGGACACTCACGTATATGTGGAAAAAATCCGTGTTAAGTGAAAGTTCAGCTCTGGCAAAAGGCAGCGTATATGCAAAAAGCGTTACATTGTGATTTATGAAATATATATATATATATATATATATATATATATATATATATATATATATATATATATATATATATATATATATATATATATATATATATATATATATATATATATATATATATATATATATATATATATATATATATATATATATATATATATATATATATATATATATTTTTTTTTTTTTTTTTTTTGGGGTTAATCAAGTAGTGATTGATCATAATAGTGTAATATGGGCTTAAGGCCCAAATGGAAAACTATAATTTTAGCTGGTGGAAATTTTGTCTCATAGGGCTAGTGAGTGAAACCCATGACATCACCAAAAAGCAGTCTCTCTCCTGTGACCAGAGGTGAGGCAGCCATGACAGAGCCTGTTACCCAATCACAGTGTGCCTTTTCATACTCAGCCAATGGGGAGCACTTCATAATTATCTTGTGCTCCCTTAGATCTTACTCTATTTTATTTGTTGGCACAAGGTGACATTATCTGAATTATTAATGATTATATCATGCACCTGTGACCACCCACACCTGCCAGTATAATGAAGAACATAAGATACATTTTGTTAGATCATCACTTGTATATGTTTAATCACTATAAGAAGTGCAGAACACTAAATTCCAGTGTGTATGTCCAGGGTCAGGGTTAGAGGGATGTCAAAAATCACAGCCTTGTTCTGAGTACAGTATATCTCCTGCAGTGTCAAGATTATATATGACAAGAGACACACAATGTACTAGGACACAATATTCCTGTTTGATATGATGACACATTTACCGATTTATCAAATAACAGCTGTCCAAAACTATACCAAATTGTTATGCTTTGAACAAGGAAAATTAAGTATTTATTTTGAAAGAAGAATGATCAAGAATTCATCAAAGAGTCATCTGTACTAGAGCTGAGGTTGTAGTGAAGATTTTAAGCTGAAAGCAGGCCACAGACAAGGGTGAAAATTCTCTTATCAAGTCAGGAAATATATTCATAAATCTGTCAAATGTTGCTAAAACTCACACCGGTGTTGGTCTTTGTTGTTATAATGTATTACTGTACTACACTTCAACAACTAGTTCATACAACAGTCATCAACAATAAAGAATAAGATAGTTATATAAGTATTAACCAAGTTGGAACACAATGAAGGCTGCACGAGACAGCCCAGCACCTGACTGAGTGATGTAGTGAAGCTGCTCCTGGGTCAGTGGGCCTCAAAAGCTTATGAAAAGATTTTGTTTGTTTATTATCTGAAGATGGTCCAAAGCAGACTGAACTTTACAATAAGGTTATAATATTTGGTCGACTCTATTGTCAGGGACTGATTACTGTACGTTGTCTACAAGTTTATATCACAGGGATGAGTTGGCTTCAGTGACTAATACAACACTGTGCAGGCTCTTACAATCCAATCTACTGTAGTTTAGATACAATAGCTGTCAAGTTAGACCCCATACCTATATGAAAATTTGTAAATGACAGCATCTTTATAACATTAAAGCAAAATAATATAAACAATTTACCATTAACATTTTCAATACAAATGGTTTCTTTGTACAGGTTTACCTGGTGACCCTGGTAGTCATGGTCTGCCGGGCAGATTAGGGCGGAAAGGCTTCACTGGTCGACCGGGTGATCGTGGACCAATCGGCAAAACCATTGGTGGAATGCCAGCTGAAAATGGAGAAGTTGGTCGACCAGGACGCCCCGGAGATCCTGGTCGAGATGGATTACCTGGGATCTCAGGGATCAAGGTACTGTACTCTTAGTTGTCTGTGGAAACAGAGAAATGTAAAATTAGAGAGAGAAAATAGGCTGAAATAAGATGAAAGAAGTGAAACACAAGAGAGAAAAGAGTCTAAGAGAAGAGCTGAGGGAATGAGGGGAAAAAATTAAAAATGAAATGGAATGAACTAAAAGATCAAGGTGAAGGAGAAAGTGAAATGGGAAGGAAGGAAGGAAGAAAGAAAGGAATTAGAGGGAGAAAACTCAAAGGGAGGTTAAAGAGAAGAAAGAGAGACTGAGTATAAGGGAGGGAGGAGGAAAGCAGAGCTAAGAGTGGAAGATGAGATATAATTAATGTAAGAAATAAAGGTTTGATATTAAAAATTTATTCCATAATAGACGTAGTTAGGAATGACCCAAGTCTGTGCACACCCAAGTTTTTCTGGGTACCTAAACTATGGCACAGTTTGCTCTGAGATACTGGTGTGACAAGTCATGATGCTGTGCAACACTTTTTCTCCACGGCTCAAATGGCACCCCCAGGAAAAGTCAGAGTGCCAATTGATATACTGTATATAGTACATTATCAACCACAAAAACCAGGGACTCCATACTCAGACCTGCCTTCAATAATTAACCCCAAAAATTAGGAACCAAGAGTAACAGGATAAATTTGTGAAATTGAGGACAAAGACAAGAGGCCATATCCCCACCCTCTGTGACTCAATAATGGAGAGAGAAGTTGAATAGGAGTCAACACAACTGAATCAGGAGAGGAAATCACACCCTGGTAGGCCACTATTGTAGAGATAGCTTGGATGGCTTCAGCTTCAAGATCATGCAGCAATGAGGAGAATTTATCAAACCTTCAATTAGATGTACTGTAGTACATGTCCCCAGTATATTGAGTTCCCCAGTGAACCTGTTGGGGACGTAACTCAGATAGAAGGATAAATAAGTTGTAAGAGCCAGATTAATCTTATTATTCATCCTAATACAACCTCACTGGCACCCTTAAGGGTCCTCCAGTTTTATCCATAGTAGAGTAAACAATAACTCATAAACAGGAGATGATATGGACACACCTGCATCAAGAACTCTTGAGTTGTCAGACACTTGGAATGTGTGACTCCTGATTCCTATATTGTCCCTGAACCAGTTGTTCAGGAACAAGCAAGGGATTTCACTGTTTCATAATGAAACTGTTTTAAACAGGCACAATTACTCTCAGCCCCATGAAACCAACTTATTTGTTGCTACAAATTTAAATTCTTGCATCATAAACCTCAAAGACTTTGTGATCCTATAAGCACATTTCAAAGACAGTGTGGACCAACCTTCACCAAATCTTGAAAGATGCACCAACATAAGTAAACAGTAAATATTTGTACTTAATTCAGTTGCAGCAGGTGAAGCCAAGACAGATAGGTCCACACTCATTCCATCCCATTTAGTCATTGATTAAAGTTAAGGTGATAGAATAAATGGATAATCTAAAATGACATTAGCTGCTGTAAGAGATTGTCTTTATTTTGTTGTGAAAGTGAAATTTTAAGACTTTTCAGACTTAGCATAATCAAAATATAGTACTGTACTGTGTTTTGTAAATATGTAATGAATTGACTATACAGTATATTCTACTTCACTCAGGGGTCAGTTGGTGATATTGGACAGCCAGGTTATCGTGGCCAACCTGGACGACCGGGCTTCCGTGGTGATCTTGGCGTCAGAGGACGGAGGGGCCCAGAAGGTCTGATCTTTATCATACTGGTGCACACAATCATGTCTCATCTTATCATTATTTTCTTTAATACAGTACTCACTTTTTCAAAACCAAATTTTTTTTTCCAAATGTCAATACCCTGTACTTCATGAAATTATTACAGTGAGTCAACATTATTTGTGTTCGTTTGTTACATAATTATCAGTTAATACAGTATATTGATTCAATATAAAATTTCACATTTTTACTCAATCTGCAAGTTAATATTTGACTTGATCTGCCTTTATACCTTTTGCCCCAACAGCATCTTTTAAAACAATTACTAAAGGAGCCATCAGCATGGATAAAATACATTTCAAATGACATTGGGAATTTTTAAAAAATAAATAATAAAAAATAAAAACTGTGATAACATTGTGATTACGAGGAAAAGGTCACCTTTTGGTGATAGAGTACACGTAATGTATTACAAATCTTGTTTATACTATAGTAATGTTTGAATAGGTGATTAAAATCAGTCACTTCACCCAAATTCAAACAATTTTAATCCTTCCCATCTCATGTCCATTCAGTTAAGTCTTACACTTGTGTACAGCATTGTGAGTCTGGATGTTGCTGACTCTAAGTGTGTTGTATGAGCAGGTAATCATGTGACCTTAGCAAGGCTGCAAAAACTCGGCATTAGGGATGTAATGTACTGTACTGTACTGTACTGTATCCCTGGATTGTATTGATAAGTTCTGCTACCTGAGTGTCATAATTAGTGGTGGTGGTGTCGCGTCTGGAAATAGTTTGGGGGCTGTTGCCTCTATTGATGGCAAGATGACCTTCTCTTAGTGTGAAAGGAAAGATGTATGCAACCAGTGTGAGAAGTGTGATGTTGTATAGCAGTGAAACATGGGCAGTTAAAAGGAGTTAAAATACCGAAGCCTGAGCAAGCTGAAATGAGAACAGCGATATAAATGTGTAATGTGACATTGAGACAGGAAACCTTGTGAGCACTAAGAGGGTGGCTGAGTGTTAGTGAGGTTGTGTGTAGAGGCAGGTTAAGATAGTGTGGGCGTGTATCAAGATATGTGCGAGATTGAATGTGTAGAGAAGAGCCAATGGGAGGCCAAGAATGACACGGAAAGAGGTTTGTAAAAAATTATATCAGAGTTAAGAAACTGATGAAAATAATGTGGGAGAGTTGCCATCAGGTAATCAGGGCTAACCCACACAAGCCTGGAAAATGGCAGCAAAATAGTGATAGCGACGGGAAAACCTGTAGGCTTGCCTAGTAAAAAAGTGGGACATAAATGCATGTGAACATTTTATAGTCTACAGTATACCAAGAAGCTTTGAGAATATAATGGATCCTGTAGTTTAGGTAATCTAAAATATACTACAGTACTACAGAATTATAGCACCTTATGTAACTGTAACTTATAAAGCAGATACATTATGTATTTCTTTAAACTCTTTTCCACATCATAACTTTGCATGTACTTAACTCTATTTTTGACATTTATTGTGATAGTAATTATATTCCTGCCTTCATGTATGATCTAAAACCCATTTCCCTTCAAACACAAACATGTCTTTGTGTAGAATTTTCTCTTAACATTACATACCATACTTTATTTGCACCATTATATTGACATCAAATACTTATATTAAAATATATCATGCTCCAATAATGTTTATATCAAATAATTATAAAATATATCATCGCACAATTAGGTTTATATCAAATACATGTACTTATGTTAAATATATCATGGTACAGGACTGCCAGGGAGGAAAGGTGGAGCAGGAGAAGAAGGCATGATTGGTCGTCCAGGTGGAGCAGGTCGACCAGGCATTCGTGGACATAAAGGTCAACCAGGAAATTTCGGTAGAGACGGCCCTGATGGACGCAGAGGAGCCCCTGGTATCAGCCGCCCCGGAATTACTGGAGACCGAGGCGATAACGGTACAGTACAGAGAAACTTCTATTTAACATATTATAGAGAGGGGAAAGTCCCTTATATTGAGGGTCCATTCGATTTAAGACCTCTATTTAATGGACTTTATAGAGGGGAAAGTCCATTATATCAAGGGTCCATTAGATGTGAACTAGTAGAGGGATGATTACAGGAGGAATAACTTTATGGAGAGGAAGTTACACGAGGCAGAGTTGAATAATTAGAAATTCCTTGGGAAGAAACCTTAAAGTCTGCAGTATATTTTGTTAAGAAAATTTATTCTATAAATAAACAAAAATAAACATTTAGTTTTTCCACATGTAGAGGTGGACATTATGTTGCCACTTGTTTTGGTGTACACAAGAATAATAGACCTAATGAAGAGTTCAACAGTGAAGGAGAGGAAGCCAAATGAGGATGGATTAATAGCACAATGATGAATGTATTGTATGGGTGTATGTTAAAAATGAGGTTAAGTTTTACCTTTGGTGTTTTCACAAAGATAAAATTAACATCTTACAGGGTTCCCTGGTGCTCCTGGAAGAACTGGATTACCTGGTCTGCAAGGTCCTGTTGGACTTCCAGGAGACAAAGGTTCTTTGAGAGGTCCAGAAGGATTCCCAGGCAATCCTGGTCTGGTTGGGTAAGTGGGAATGTCTTTTTCGTAATTTTTGGAATATCATCACTTATATATTGGGAAGTTTATGACGGAGCAATCAGTCTCAACATTTTGAAAAATTTTAACTTAATTTCCCCCAGTCAACATCATGCTATCTTGTAATGGACTGAAATGGTTATTCAGTATATTGTACAACTTTGTCTTCACAGTCCAAAAGGTGAAGTTGGTGACCGTGGTATCCAAGGTCTCTCGCAGCGCCCAGGTGCCAGAGGAATTAAAGGAGAACGTGGCATTGATGGCTTCCAAGGACTATCAGGCCAGCTTGGAGCACCAGGAATTGTTGGCACTCCAGGCCTTCCTGGTGCCCAAGGAATTCCTGGTTTACAGGTTATGTTGCCCACTAACCATTTGATTCATTTTCATTAACATCTAAATTTAGTAAAAACATGCAGTCATTCCTTGCAAATGCTAGCCTCTGTAAAGCTGAATTCATAGGTGAATTGTTTATAATTAAAAAATAAATAAAAATTGCAAATACCCTTGTACCATACTGTACCAAGGATGATTCATGCAAGAACAGTGTGTACAGTATTGTACACAGCATATTTCAGCTACAGAACTCTGGGGATTGTGGGTGAAATAAATGGAACATTCTAGTGCAGGGATGGTGAACCCATGGTATATGCACTCACCATGGTGCCCACTCTGGTGCATGCACTCACCATGGTGCCCACTCTGGTACATGCACTCACCATGGTGCCCACTCTGGTACATGCACTCACCATGGTGCCCACTCTGGTACATGCACTCACCATGGTGCCCACTATGGTGCACGCACTCACCATGGTGCCCACTCTGGTACATGCACTCACCATGGTGCCCCACTGGTGCACGCACTCACCATGGTGCCCACTGCACATACACTCACCATGAAAGCCCACTCTGCACATGACTCACCATGGTGCCCACTCTGGTACATGCACTCACCATGGTGCCCACTCTGGTACATGCACTCACCATGGTGCCCACTCTGGTACATGCACTCACCATGGTGCCCACTCTGGTACATGCACTCACCATGGTGCCCACTCTGGTACATGCACTCACCATGGTGCCCACTCTGGTACATGCACTCACCATGGTGCCATTTAATATTGTGTACATGATATACTTAAGTGGCTACATCACTCACAGTAAAATGATTGTTAACAACTCAAGGGTTTAAACTGCTCACACTAAGAGATTAATATCACTGTACAGATAAACTGATCGCTTTTTTATTTGGTCACAAAGTTATTGATGCGTGAATATGAACATTTTACAACCTTCAACTGTGCACCTGGCAAAGAAAATAGATCCAAGCACAAAGTTCAGTTTTAAGCCAAGAAGAAAGACTGTTCAGGATATCACAATTTTCTTCACTAATAATAATATCTCTGTTAGCTGGAATCCCTCTTAACCGGAACTCTCCCATAGCCGGAATTGAAATTTTCTCAGAATTTTCCAGAAAATTCTGGGTTTGGGAACGATTTTCCGAAGGACATTTTTGGACAATTCTGAGAAAATTTCCCAATACAGTACACAGAAAATTCCAAGGATGGGGAATTTTTTTCTGGTTTTGAGAGATGAAATAATGCATCATTATGATAAATTCTGAGGAAATTCCAGTACAGTACCCAGAAAAATTCTGGGGATGGGGGATTTTTTCCGGGTTCGAGAGCTGATGTAATGCACAATTTCCGGAACTTCCAATATAAATTTCCCAGTACAGTACAGTACTGTACTCTGAAAATTCCATGGAGAATTTTTTCCAGCTTTGAGAGTCGTCTCGTTACCCAGTAATCTCTCATTCCCAGAAGTGCTCTGTACCAATTGTTCAGGCAAATGGAGGTATCACTTTTCCAATTAACTTAAATGCTGAAATAATGAGAATAAAGCAAATATTCTGTACAGTAAGACTAATAATGGCTGTTGCCTTGGTCAGGCTCACTATGTGTTATTGTTACCCCATAGAACAGAACAAACTTACTTTAAGCCTGTGTTGTGTTTTCAGTTGGCATTGTCTACTAAATCCAGTAAAAAAGTCTCTTAGTTAGTATGACTGTGTTAAAAGCAAAGTACTGTAGTAATCAAAATTTATTGATATCAAACTGTTTAAGAATCCATGCACGACGTTTCAATTTTATTTTCAGGGTACCCGAGGTAATGCAGGAAATGCTGGGTTCCCAGGTGCACCTGGACAGCCAGGTATCAGAGGTGACATTGGTAATATAGGTAAGTACTGTACACTGAAAACATAAAATTTATTATGGAATTAAGATCACTGATTAAAATCAGACTAGTATTCATGAGTTTTCATATTCATATCTGTAGCAATGCACACAGAGAGAGAGAGAGAGAGAGAGAGAGAGAGAGAGAGAGAGAGAGAGAGAGAGAGAGAGAGAGAGAGAGAGAGAGAGAGAGAGAGAGAGAGAGAGAGAGAGAGAGAGAGAGAGAGAGAGAGAGAGAGAGAGAGAGAGAGAGAGAGAGAGAGAGAGAGAGAGAGAGAGAGAGAGAGAGAGAGAGAGAGAGAGAGAGAGAGAGAGAGAGAGAGAGAGAGAGAGAGAGAGAGAGAGAGAGAGAGAGAGAGAGAGAGAGAGAGAGAGAGAGAGAGAGAGAGAGAGAGAGAGAGAGAGAGAGAGAGAGAGAGAGAGAGAGAGAGAGAGAGAGAGAGAGAGAGAGAGAGAGAGAGAGAGAGAGAGAGAGAGAGAGAGAGAGAGAGAGAGAGAGAGAGAGAGAGAGAGAGAGAGAGAGAGAGAGAGAGAGAGAGAGAGAGAGAGAGAGAGAGAGAGAGAGAGAGAGAGAGAGAGAGAGAGAGAGAGAGAGAGAGAGAGAGAGAGAGAGAGAGAGAGAGAGAGAGAGAGAGAGAGAGAGAGAGAGAGAGAGAGAGAGAGAGAGAGAGAGAGAGAGAGAGAGAGAGAGAGAGAGAGAGAGAGAGAGAGAGAGAGAGAGAGAGAGAGAGAGAGAGAGAGAGAGAGAGAGAGAGAGAGAGAGAGAGAGAGAGAGAGAGAGAGAGAGAGAGAGAGAGAGAGAGAGAGAGAGAGAGAGAGAGAGAGACTTTAAACTCATAACATAACCAAACTACAATACCTGTACTGTATGTAAATTACAGGGGTAGTTTACTTAAGATTGAATTAAGTACAGTAATGGTGCTTTTCATTCATAGATTATTTTTTTTTTAATTACAGTATCTGCATAATACAGAACATACAGTATAAAATATTCTTTCAGGTACTCTTGGTAACACTGGTTTCATGGGTAAGCCTGGTCGAGATGGACAGAAAGGTCGCAAAGGCTTGGTTGGTCAAGATGGTTTTGTGGGACCTCCTGGACAGGCAGGTCCCAGGGGACTTCGAGGTATCCAAGGTGCTAACGGTCAATCTGGTGCACAAGGACAGCCAGGTCAGTCGCTTTACTAGTGCTTCAATGTTGAATTCTCTATCAGCTAGGAAACAAAAGTCAAACAGATGGAAATGATATTGTATAAGGGTGCTCTGGGCGAGAAATAGGCTATCTGAGAGTAAAATGCAGTTAAATTTAAAGTTATTTTAAAACATGTATACTGTAATGATAAAACAAACACATCTCAAGCCACTTTGTCTTGTTCTTACCTGGAGCACCTCATGTAAAGTCTTAGTAATTCAGAAACTGTGATAATCCATCTAGAATTGTTATCAACCAGATGAAACACTATTACCAAGTTTTTTATATTACATGTGTGAAAAAAATATTGAAAATTATTAAAAAAAATGCTCAGTGTAGGAAAATCTTAATTATTTCAAGTATTAACGAGTACTGACCACCCCACCATTAGGATCAACTGCCTTGAGGTACTTCAATAAGCATGTTTTAACTGAATTGGAGATTTAGTACATTTCATGAGTTAGTTGATATGGAATGAAAACTTAATAACGTTAGATATTTAAGTATTAAAGTGATACGATACATCAGTGAGTTCAAAGTTTAACAAAAGTTACCTTATTATGGCAACTGTTTTGGTTAATGCCTGCATACAGTCTGAGATTTTAACTTTTGAAATAATAGTGAAAATTTCAGGAAAGACATATTTTGTACAGTCATTTTTGCAGTTTTTATAAATGGTGACTGGTGAAACTCTTGGTTGAGTTTACAAGGTGAATGAGTTAAGCTTTAGATCAATCTCCAAAAACAAACACTAGTGATTTGTCTATTAAGTTTATTAATTGGGTTAGGAAGACTTTAACAGAAAAGATGGTGAAAATGTTAGGTGTTTGGGTAGAATATAAAAATCAGAATTCAGTGCCACAAAGTTTTGCATTATTCACCAGAGCCTTGAAAATGTACTATATTTTTTACTTAAGGAGCTCGGTGATTCTTCATCTACTGAGAGTTTTGAGGCAAGAAAGGGTTTGTTCAATAAGTTTAAGCAGCAGCAACCTCTTCACAACATCAAGTGAGTGCTAACCATATTGCCACAACTGCCTTTCCTGAGAAATTTAAGGAATTCATACAGGCAGAATGCTGCACACTGCAACAGGCATTTAATATGGATGAAACTGATATTTTTTGGAAACAAATGCCATCAATAATGTTCTTCTTAGCAGTGGACAAGACTATTTTCAAGGTCACAAAGGACCACTTAACACAATGCTACATGGCAATGTTGCAGGTGACTTCAAATGCAAGCTGTAATTACCCAAAGAATCCCTGGGCACTGAGAGGCTTAAGTCTACATATATTGTCTGTCTACTGCCATTCTAAGATGAGTGTGGATGATGCTATAAAGGTGAGCAGCACAGCAGACACAACAACTAGGTGTTTAAACCCTTACTGCTGGATGAAAATACACCTGATCACCAGCCCTACAGGTGTGACCTGCATATAAGTTTTACTTTTGTTGCCAAATATTACCTCTATTCCACAACCACTTGACCTGGGGTAATTGGTACTTTCAATCTGTTATATGCTCACATAAATTTGCACAGCTCTTGAAAAGACACATAGACTAGGCAAGCCATTGAAGTGTGACTTTTGGAAACAGTACAATAACCAATATGCCTTAGAAAACCATGCTGCAAAGGGTGAAGTAACAAGCATGAGTTATTGAAGGTGATATGAAAGAAATGTGTTTACAGCTTCATAGGTTTTGACTTTGAGACATAAGATACTAACATAACCCTCATAGTTACCCTGGAGCTGCAAATGACACAAATTGTTTAGGAACAAAGTGTACAGTATTACAGTACTGTCTCTATAATTTTTGCTGTTGTTGAGGTAAGGGAAATTGAGCATATTGTACACACTATTATCCACCTTTCACTCCCTAGGACTATAACCCTTATACAGGTACAGTATTTAATAATGTTGCCTCTGCTCATTTCAACAAATATATGAGAATTAATTATATTTGTATTCTCTGTGCAGGTCATACTGGCCCGACTGGTGACCCGGCACCCCCAGGTCCACCTGCCAAGTCAAAAGGTTACCTCATCACCCGACACTCTCAGGAGATCCTCTCCCCGCGTTGTCCCATTGGAACAAATGTTATGTGGGAAGGTTTTTCACTTTTACATGTGATGGGCAACCACAGAGCTCATGGACAAGATCTTGGTAAGTAATTACTGTACTGTACGTATTTGTTTTGAATAAATGTAAAATTATATATTTTAATAACTTATGAAGAGAACCATTCATTAGCCGTTTTATTAAAGGTAAAATGCACTTTGTACAAAAGAAACACTCTTGTGTGTCCCTTGTAATGAGTTTTGTTATTTCCCTTCAGCCAGGTTAAGTAACAATGACAACACAAACACAGTAAATCCCATATAATTCTTTTATACAATAATCCAAGTTTGTTAAGTTCTGGGTGCCTAAAATACTGTATCACCCTAAAATTCACTTCAAATCCTATCAGATTATTGTTATTTTTCACTTGGTGTATGAAATAAACTTCCAAAATATTCACTTGCAAAAAAGATGACACTGGCAATTAAAAACTTTCCATTAAAAATCAAGTCACAATACCTTTACCAACCTCACTCTTCCTTGGCTCTATATAAAACAAACTTGAAGCCCAATGAAAACTTCTGGTGGGAACAAGTGAGGGGTATTAAGTCAGTGTGCACCGCCACGCCCAGCTGGCAGAGGATGACTGGCCACAAAACACATGTCCTCAACTATGTCATATGGGGGTATATAGTCCTAGTTCTTTATGCCTCTGACTCACCTACATTGGTGGAAAAAGATGATACAAGTCGTCATATGTGTTTTCCTTAAGTGTAGTGAGAGGGGTACAGGAAGGATAACCCTAGGTTTCTGCTGGGGGATTATGTTTTGCCCCGAGGTGCAAGACAACCTCACTATACCGCTAATTCTTGCATATGACAACTGAATACAGTACTTGAGTATATTTTTATAATCAGTAATTTGTCTACTTGTACTAGGTGCTCCGGGAAGTTGCCTGAAGAAGTTTAGCACAATGCCGTACCTCTTCTGTAATCTGAACAATGTGTGTGACTACTCTCAGAGGAATGATTACTCATACTGGCTCTCAACCACTGAACCAATGCCAATGATGATGACCCCAATACAAGGACCGGATATAGAAAAATATATTTCAAAGTAAGTAAATGTGTGAACCTTTTGACTAATAGTACGGGTATAAGATTTTGTGGTTGACAGATTTTGTGTACGGTTTATACTCTACTGTTAGTTGTTGAGCTTGAGTCTTGGTATGAATCTTTATGGTTTTAGGTGTCGAATGATGAGACTGGAGGACAATGATGGATCGTAGACCAAGAGTTACTGTAGAACTATTGACTTTTTAATGACAATTTCCCCATAGGTGTCACCAGGTTACAGTCTCACACCTCACAAAACCTGATAACTTCACATAATCAACTCTTTAAACTCCCTTTTCCATGTCATTGAGATGGAAAGAGTAATTTCAATAGGAAGGCAAGCATTGCTACAGTCTCAATGTGCTGTAATTATATGGTTATTAATAGGCATGGTATACTAGCATCATTGCAGCAACTTTGCTGGATATAATAACATTGTCATATACTGTACAGTATTATATATAGTACAGAAAGTTGGAAAAAAAATCTTGCATCAAATAAGACCTGTTTCTTTGGCAGATGTGTTGTGTGTGAAGCACCATCACTGGTAATAGCTGTTCACAGTCAGACTCTGGAGATCCCAGAATGTCCAGAAAAATGGGAATCACTCTGGATAGGCTACTCCTTCATCATGGTAAGTCAAATATATCCTAACACTTTATTTACTAACATTTCTATAGATGTGACAATGTTAAGAAGGCTGAACACACTAAGACAGAGTAGAGGGTCAATCTAACATTGGGAGTTCATAAAGAAGCACATCGAGTCTCAGGATGAGAATACCATTAATATTATCCAACATGACCCAGGAACTCTCAACAGATTGAACTTTAGAAAAGACAATGTAACTTAGATTGATAAACAGATGATCACTTGGGATAGTTTCATATTCTGCCAGTTAAAGTATTTTACAACATGAAGAACTTATTCTAATTGTGTGAATGACTTTTTTCCCTCCAGCACACAGACTCTGGGGCCCAGGGTTCTGGCCAGTCGCTCATCTCACCCGGCTCATGCCTCGAGGACTTCCGGTCAAGTCCGTTTATTGAATGCACGGGACACGGTCGGTGTAACTTATTCCCATCGGCCTTTTCTTATTGGTTAGCAACAATTGAAATTGAACAACAATTCAGAAAGCCCGAACAACAGACATTAAAGGCTGGGGATCTTAAATCACGTGTCAGTCGCTGCACTGTCTGTATGAGAAGAAGGGATGGTGGCAATGTAATTCCTACTCCTCCGGCTGAATTTACAGATAGAGGTAGACGTCCATACAACCGCCCACGTGAAGGCAGGATCTACTTTGGTGGTTAAATTATGTGTTAAAAAGCTCTATCAATATTTTTTTTAAATCAGTACTCTAAAAATTATGAATTTCAAAGTAAATTCGATTCTCTTAAGCCCCCTTTTTTACATCCTAATGGCTACATACATTATCATATGTAAGGTAGTTCATGTTCAGGCCATCCCATTTCACAATATGACCTATTAACTATATTTCATGTTTTTGCTTCACAAAAAGTCTTCAATATACTGTACTGTATAGGATGTTAAGGTAGTTCATGTTCTCTCTTGCTTCACAAAATTTATATACCTTGTAGTACAGTATACAGCAACCAATTGTTTTAAAACAATTTGCATGCATGTGTCTTTCCATGTGGTGCTATGTTAGTGTGTAAATTAAAGAAGTTTGTCTTATCTAAGTCAACTGTATTTAGTTTTAAGTAACAATGTCTGCTCACTGCCATTTACTGTATGATACCAGTGTAAGTGAAAAATTCCTTTATAACATAAGTTTAGAGACAATATATTTGTATATAGTAATTGCTTCGTTCCTTTTATTGTTACAACTTTTCTTTTACTTTCTTGATTCTGACACATTCATGTAAACACTTTTCTTGCAGTTAATAATGAGAAAATTTTCATTTTTAGATAATTTCAAATTACTTTTATCGTGTTTATCATTATCCTTATGATTGTTATTATTATTATTATTACTGTGGATAGTCACAACATTGGTAATTTGATCTTTACCACTTGAGTGGTGACAATATAGATCAATGACCCCCTACTTGGTGACTGTGAAGATCAAACTTCTGGGAATTAGGACAAATCACAATGTAGATGACTTAAAATTGCACTCACTGAAGATCCAGTTTTGATAAACTGGTTATGAAATCCTCTGATGTCTGCACTGAAGAAAAGGAATAAACAATAACCCCTGAGGGGGGTACAGGACAGTACTGTACTGACACTAACTAAGTAGGACACCCAGTGTAGACATCTGGCACAGAAAAATCTTGAAATCATGTACCAAAACAAATTAGGAACATCTCATAGCAACCTTAGGATAGACCCTTGTCTGGTACACAGTTATTAAAAAATAAAACATATGCTAGTTAATGCATTAGGGTTGTCTGTACAGTACTGTAGAATAAACATTCTTGCAGCTCAATCTTAAAATCAACATAAATACCTTGGACTGCATGGCAACATAACACCCAATGAAAATGTCTAATATCACAAAAAGAACACTTAGCTGTTTGCAATGGCAGAGCAGGAACAGAACATCCTTGCTTTGTGAAGGGTGACTTAAGTCTAAGGTGGTTGATCACATTTGCATAATTTTTAAATGATGTAAAAAAACAAAAAACAGTGAAGCACTTCTTGTTGTACTCACAGCAAAACCCTCAAGCTTCCCCCCCCCCCTCTTAGAGTACAGTACTTTAATACCAAGTGGATCTCCTCCACGACTCCAGATGAAGCAGAAAGATAATCTAATTATCAAACTTACTGTACATGTTATATCCCAATCACAATTTTAAGCCCTGGAGTTAAGACCTATACATTTACTACCTAAACATAGTAGCCAGATCCATGTCTCAAAAGCTAACCAGCCACATAGCTTTGTGCACAAATAGAGATATACCGTACAGTACTTGTAGTACTGTACATGTAATACACAATAACCTGCATCACCTAGGACGACTGATCCCAGTTCACATCCAACATCACTGTTTAAAGACAAAATAACTCTTATCTGCTGCCAGGTCAGAACAAGAGAACATTCACTAGGTTTGAGTTGTGACTGGTGTCTGAAATTGTTCCTCATCGAACATTTTGTATATATGATGCCACAGACATATGAACAAATTGGAGCATCTTGTTTATAGTTAAAGCAAAGCTCCTAAGTCTTCTCACTTTATGATGCCTTCATAGTTCAGGTGGTATGCAGATGAAATATCATATAATTTCTTAATTCTTTACATCTTTGGATACCAGTCACAAGTTGGGACACAGGGGTCTGGGTTTTAACTCACAGACTAGCTGGCTAAAACCAAGATGCTTGATCCAGTAATAAGGTTACAAAAGCATACAATACATTCACTGTATCAAAGATATAACTACTGTACTGGTATATCTGATTGCAACAACGTAATGTTGAAAACACTGTGGCCAAGCTGCCTGATGTGTAGGATACTACAGCAGTGTCTCCATAACACAGAAACTTAATGCCGTCACTACTGGGGTACAATGTACTTTCTTTGATGCCTTAGTGAAAATTAAGCCTAAAGTGACTGTTTCAGGTTGTAATGCCTGTCCAAACTTCCGACTTGTGCTCAGAGTGCACGGTAAATGCATCACATCTATGGCTCTCATTAGATAGCCTCGCATTTTTCCATTAATTCCTGACAAGTTTCTAGTCCAGTGCCCAATACAGTACAGTATATCAATAACAATCTAGATGAGAATCTTGACTACAGATTCTGTTAAATTGCATTTTCATATAAAATATATATACCTGTAGGTAGTCTATGCAATTGTACTCTATACTGTACACTGCACATATAGTCTCAGAAAAATGTATACAGTATACACTACCGTACAGATTTTCTTAAACACCGTGTGAATGATTGTAACACACACCAGCAACATTGTTCTCACTTACTGATGTATGAGGTCCACCACAAAAGAGGAAAATGTTGCTGTAATATAAACATTCATGCAATCGCCATGAAAATCTGTGGCGGTGTGTATGCATTTTTGACACCCTGTAGTTTATATAATTACACAAAATATTTCACAATAGGAAATACAATCAAATATTTGTCATAAGTGTGAACAAAATATCACAACCAGCTCATATCATCTATCTTAGTAAAAAAAAAAATAAAACTCAAATTAGATACAGTATAACACTATCATTCACCTTATTGGTCACAGAAGCCATAATTCTAATCATAAAAGCAATGAACATGACCTTTAAAACCATGACCCCCAAACCTTATCAAAAAAGCGATCTGGGCAAGAACCTGACCTCTCCCAATATTTAGTCAAGAATAATAATGACCTTGACCTAATGACACCCTAAATCACTAGTGACCTTGGATGCAGTACTAGTGCGTGAAGAGAACCCCCAAAAACACCTGTGCAAATATCGTTTTTATGTAACTAAAGAATCAGTAACATGATAGTTGATGAGGGAGTGACATGATGGTTGATGAGGGAGTAACATGATGGTTGATGAGGGAGTGAAATGATAAGCTGGTATGGGAGTAACATGATGGTTGATGGAGGAGTAACATGATGGTTGACATGGGAGTAACATGATGGTTGATGAGGGAGTAACATGATGGTTGATGAGGGAGTGAAATGATAGCTGGTATGGGAGTAACATGATGGTTGATGAGGGAGTGAAATGATATGCTGGTATGGGAGTAACATGATGGTTGATGAGGGAGTGAAATGATAGCTGGTATGGGAGTAACATGATAGATGGTATGGGAGTAACATGATAGCTGGTATGGGAGTAACATGATAGCTGGTATGGGAGTAAACATGATGGCTGGTATGGGAGTAACATGATAGCTGGTATGGGAGTAAATATAATAGCTAGTATGGGAGTAACATGATAGCTGGTATGGGAGTAAACATGGCAGTAGATCAGAGGCGAAATAAAACAACTCATATCAACGATCAAATTTACTCTACACTAGTTCACACCAAAAGAAACACAAACAGATTGTACCAACTTGTGTTTTTTGTACAAGTACCAAAGGTGTTCAGTATGTAAACTTTTGTCCATAAGGTGTTCAGTACATATAACTTTAGTCCATAAGGTGTTCAGTATGTAAACTTTTGTCCATAAGGTGTTCAGTACATATAACTTTAGTCCATAAGGTGTTCAGTATGTAAACTTTAGTCCATAAGGTGTTCAGTACATATAACTTTAGTCCATAAGGTGTTCAGTCTGTAAACTTTTGTCCATAAGGTGTTCAGTACGTATAACTTTAGTCCATAAGGTATTCTGTCTTCTACAACTTTCACCCATCTTATTTATTGCACCAGGGTCTTACGTGAACATTCATTTCATCTTTCTTTAACCCTTATTTGGCAGCTAAAGATTCCTTACCCCACCCACATGTAAAATGGAACACAAGGAACATTGAGCTTCCACTGATAATGGCTGCCATCCCAACAGCTAACTTCTCATGATGATGGCTGTATTTAAGGGTTAAAGCCAAAAATAAAATGATTTAACTGGTGTACAAAATTACTATCTTTTGTGGATTCAATATTAACTTATAAATGCAATAACCTTCCCATTATATCTTCAAGGGAAAACTAAGAAAAATTAATTAGTTAGAAAGGGAGAATAAGCATAGTTATTGCTGCAGATTTTTTGCCAAGATTAAAAATGACTACCACTCTATTACTCTAGTCACTGACAATGAATCCATTGTCTCTAAAGCAAATAAAGGTAATTATCACAAATTTATCATAAGGTTATTAAGAAACAAATATCCTAACTACTGTAGAAGGATCCCTCAACTTACAGAAATGTTGTCTAACTTATTTTTCCATACACTTCATTTATATAATTATAAATGCATTCAGATGGGCAAAAAATTCCCTGCAACATACTAAGTCAACTAAATCTTATTTTTATAAACTATGTACAATTATACAGAAACGTAGTCCTTGTTTACAGAAGGATTCTCTTCCTGATGACCCTTGAGATGTGCAAAAATTCCATAATCAAAACTGATTTTACCATAAGAAGCAATGTATCAAGGAAGAATTTTGAGGGTACTGTACTGTATTTGATTGTTTTTTATAAAGAAAGATTAAAAAAAAAATTTAACAATTAAATAAGTATAAATAAACATAAAATATAAAATACAAGTGAGAGGTTTGTGTGTGTGTTCTCTCTTTCAGTCATGTGTCAACTGATGCACCTCTATGTGGTTCACCAGCTGCCACCACCCCAAAACAGTTTGACTACACTACCATCTCCAACCAGTTTTACCAATCTTATGACATTAAAACATTAAGCATGTAATACATGTAAGAATAAATAAGACTTATGTAAGGTGTAGTAAAGATTGCTATATAGGAAGGTGAGTGTGTGTTCCCCCGATCACAGTCGGGTATCAACTGATGCGTCATCTCTTGTTAATTCTTCTCAGTTGGAAGTATTTCACATGTGTAAATTTACAATAAGTGAGCAATACCTTTACTGTATTATCAACATATTACAGAACTGTACTTCCTTCTTTAAATGGGACTAGTGAAAAGAAAAAGGATGCTGGTTCTTCAAAATGTAACCCTTAAAAGGCAAGAGCAAACCTTGCCTAAGTCTGTCTCCAAAGACTTAACACTAAGACAATGAAAATATATTTAAGGTCATACAACAGAAAAGAAATAATATTAAATACACTACTAAAAAATGCAGTTGTAGTAAAAATTCCACTTTAAAACTGTGTAGAGTAGCACTTACGGTGGTAGACTTCCTGTACCATCCAGTCAGCCAAGATGGCTTGTGTCATTTTAGTTTACAGGCAGTTTATCTTTATACTACTGTACATAGTACTGTGTACAGGCATCCCCCGGGTTACAGAAGGTATGTGTCCTTGAAAATTTGTCCGTAACGTGAAACCAATTTTCCTAGACTTCCATTATATAATTAGAGATGCGTTCCCCAGGAAATGTTTTTGGCAAAAGACGTAATACAAGCACATTTATGAATGAAAATAATTTTTTAACACATACATTGATTAATTATTTTATGATACAATATGATAATAAACATACAAAACCCTTGAATTTCAAACAATGTTGAGTGCTGTGTCAGGTGAGGTGGTGCAATCGGAGTTACTGTGAGGGAGATGGAGGGGCACCACTGGCTCCTGCCTCGCCCTGTACAGTAATCCACAAGGACGAATTTTTTGTCCTTTTTCTGAATTTATTGGTCGTACTTTACAAAATCCGTATGAGCGAATTTCCATAACCCGGGGATACCTGTACCTGTATTTCATTTAGTGTTTGGCAATATTTATATATTTTTCTTCATCTTTATTAACCCCAGAAGCTTATGGAAAACCTTCTATTAATAAAAATTTTCATTCTGCATCTCAAAAGTCATCCCATATTTTTAATCCATCTAAAATAAAAAAAATTGAGGGATACTGTACTGTACTTTACCTGTATATATTCAAGTCTGTACCATTAGAGAAAGCCAGTTACATTTCATATTACGGCACAGGAAAAAAAACAACAAGTCCACAAAAACCCATTTGCCTTCTCAGTAAAATAAACCCCGTGAATAGCACTACTGTACAGCATCACCTCATACAATACTTAACAACTATGATAACTTGATAATAATCTTTATAAACACTGTCCAGTAATTCATTATTAAACACTGAAGAAGAATTGGAGGTCTCAGGTGTCTTCTTCATCCCAGTTTGATATCAATAAGTTGGAGCTCAAGTTGTCTTCTTCACTTTAGGTTTGGTGCTCGTTTACTGGTGATCTCAGTTGTATTCTTCACCTTAGGTTTGGTGCTCGTTTACTGGTGGTCTCAGTTGTATTCTTCACTTTAGGTTTGGTGCTCGTTTACTGGTGGTCTCAGTTGTATTCTTCACTTTAGGTTTGGTGCTCGTTTACTGGTGATCTCAGTTGTATTCTTCACCTTAGGTTTGGTGCTCGTTTACTGGTGATCTCAGTTGTATTCTTCACCTTAGGTTTGGTGCTCGTTTACTGGTGATCTCAGTTGTATTCTTCACCTTAGGTTTGGTGCTCGTTTACTGGTGATCTCAGTTGTATTCTTCACCTTAGGTTTGGTGCTCGTTTACTGGTGGTCTCAGTTGTCTTCTTCACCTTAGGTTTGGTGCTCGTTTACAGGTGATTTAAGTTTTTTTCACCTTAGGCTTGGCCCCAGTCAGTTGACGGGCTACGGATAACTTCTTTTTATCTGTCTTGGTGAGTTTTCCTTTTGCCTTCTTCACCTGTAAGTAAAAGTATCACTACATAAAAAAAAAGTGTCTGTATGTTAGATGTGCCTCCCTTGTGTGTATGTGTATGTATGTATGTATGTGTGTGTGTGTGATCTAAACCTTATCACCTGTACAGTAGTTTGTAAACGTTTAGTTCAGACACTCTACAAGGCATTCCGTATAAATGGAACCAACAGGGCATGGTTAGGGGTTAGTTAGGTTTAGGAAGAGAAATTATTTATTTATACAAGGTTAGGAAATAAATAAATAAATTCTCTTCCTAATCCTCACCAACCCTACACAGGTTGGTACTGCACATCATCCAACATTACCTGGTGTTACAGGCCATACATCATTCTACTAAGCTTCCAGCAGTTAATAAACACAAACTTTGACCCCTGACACCTTTTTCCTCAATGTTTTATCTCATAATTTTTAAGGCAGTAGACAGTGATACATTATTCTGACCATAAATGCTTCAGATTCATGAGTCTGAATCTCAGGGTTCATAAAGCAGCAGAAGAGGTGACAGGACCTGTGTTCATGACTACACATTCTTTTCCCCACATTCAATGTTCACAAACCACCTCTTTCACACACATACACACAATACTCGAATCCATTTCCATTTACATGTTGCCTCGGTGACATTTGTTTTCATTACATCAAGCGCCGCCAAGGATGTTATTACCACAATCAATCAAATCCATTACTACATCAATATAATCTTTAACTTCTGCTTTTCCAATTCCCTATCCACCACAACTACTTTTATTTTATTGTTTTCAAGTCTCAAGAGATTTATTTTACATCCAACCTTGAATTCACTCACAATTACCTGATCACTCATATCATTCCCAACTTCCTGTCTTTCTATTAATATTAGTTCCATAACATCAAATATCAATTCTAACTACAGCCCACATCATCAAGTAACCAATAACTACCCAGATACATTTAATAACTAAGGTACTGTATAGTGATGAGGTGCATCTCTTTCTTGCTTTTAATTTCCACCATAAACCATCTCCTGTCAGCTCCTGGGAAGTCTTTTTGCCTCTAATCACTAATGTCCAGTCAAAGGTAAACTTATGCAGCTTGTTTTTGTTGCATAATTCTTAAATATATTTCCTGGGCCAAGTATATTACATAAACACCATTGTGTGTGTTTCATCGTGTGCTTGAAAATATTATGCCTTTATATTATGTTCCCTTTTATCTCTCTATTTTATGTGTGATTTTCTAGTCATTTCTATTACCTCCCTACATTAGGCTACATCTCTGAGTGTGTTAAAAGTGCTACAGTAAAATACAGTACAGTACACAATTACTAAGCTGGTGAAAGCAAGCAGTACTGTACTGTCTGTTTCACTTCCTCTCCTGTCGCTCTCTACACTGTCTTGAGGTGATTGTACCCTTTTATTCTGTACACCCATAACACAAAAGGGAGAAGAGTACAAATAACAGATGGTGTATAACATCAATGTCAAATACTGGTCAACACTCTTTGCATTGTTACCTGTGTTTACTGGTAAAATAGCACTACATAGATCTTGATATTAAATTGCTCTTCCCTCTCTTTGGGGAAAACGCCATAATATATCTGTGGTTGAAAACATGTGACCACTATAAATTATTACCTATATACTGTACTTGCTGCCTAAAACTTAAATGAGGATTTGGATCCCCAAGGAGTATAAACATATTCCCCATACAGTAGTTCAAATTCAACCATGTTATAATGACCTCGCTTTAAGCTGATTTTCTGAAAGCATGTGAGATGCACCAGATGTGCTCTTGACAAACTGCCCACACAGAATACACATCCATGCTCTTCATTTTTATTTCAGTTTCATATTAACTATTTTTTATTTCTAATTCACATTAGATTATTGAAATCCACTCTCTGAGTGCACAGAAGAGTTGTGCAATGCACCGTTTTTCTTATACAGTATCTATGTTTCTAGAACCTTCCTAAGAGGACGAGATGCTGTCCCTAGACCAACTTCATGAGTACAGTACTTGGATTCACAGATGACAAATTTGCTGATAACAAGGACTTGGTGAATTTTTAAGTCTGTATATGCTAGCCAATATGTACAGATGTAACATTTAAAAAAGTTATTTGTGTACAGTAATTCACCTTCAGTGTTTGCTATCACATCTGACATTAAATAACCATGTAAACAAAGATGCTGAGTACAAGAATGCAATCAATAATGATATGGGAATTTAAACCATGTCCAAGGAACAATAATCACACTCAATGCAATATTTGGAACAGAGGTACAGTACTGTATGGAAGTTTAGCCCCCATAAGTCCTGCACGACACAACAATATCTCACTGTAAGACACCTCAAAGTTAGTATTCCGAGCACTCAAATAAATGTTGAATAAACAAGCACAGTGGGCATCTTGTGATTAAGATAAGGGACAGACACACAAAGACATGTGAATTCCTTGCTATGTTAAAAAAATAAACTACTGTATATCAAGTCAGCTGTTGTCATATCCAGTACAGTACACTCACCTTATGATAACTTTGTTGCTTAATCTTAATCCACTTACGGGTCAAACTGGAGCAGCCGATTTAATCCAAACATGTAATCGAGACCACAAACTAGACCTAAGCTTTACGTTTATGGATCACCTGAATATTAGCCCACTCAGATAATTTCAAGATGGTAAAATTTAGACTGGTTAAGCTGAGGGTGTTAAACTTGAGGGGAGAGCTTGGGGGCTATTCTTCAGGTGATCTCTAGAAGGTAAAATTCTAAATGGTTTCACTCATGGTTTTGACTACATCACTGATTTAACCCATCGTTTGTCTTCGCAATGTTTGATGCCACGAGTATACTAACAAATCCATAAACAGGTCAAATAACTGGGGACTTTTATATCACACATATTACCAGTGGTTATAAAATGTCAAGACCAAATACATTGACAATATAAATAATGCAATAAAGAGCATAAAAATCTGTTCAGGTCAACTACGGATACAAAAAACAGAAAACAATAAAGCATCACAAATCTATGGTGAATGTTTTACTTGTCCTACTAACAAACCTGACTGGACCAGGAAGCAAGACTGGATGGATGGACAGGTGGGATGTGGAGCTAGGGCATACAGCATAAACACCAATATATTGTACTGTAGTGGCTAGCTGGTACTTATTCAGTTGTCTCTCTCTTAAGTCAAGCAGTGTCTAGCTCACACAAGGTTGTTTCTTTAACCAAGCATTTATCACCTTTCTATACTAATTAGGTAAGTGAGGTTTATATCACGAATAAAACCAAATTGTTAGCCTTTTTTCACCATGCCATGTGACAAAAGGTGGAACCCTGGAACTCTCATACATTTTAACAGATCCCAGCCTTCCTAAAATTGTAGGCTTTCAGTAACTTGTAAGCATTTACAGTACATATTATTTACAAAAATTAATGTGCCTAAGTCTTGTAAACTTTAAAACAACAAATATATAAATTAATCACTACAGTATTGTACTTACCTTCTTAAACTCCTTGGTTTTTAACATCTTTTTCCCAGAGAAGTCTCCCTGTGGCTTTGGCTTGGTCTTTTCTTCCTTGCCCTGAATAGGCTTCATAAAAGCTAAACCCTTTTTGGCTGGTGATCCTAATTTCTTCTCTTTTGGCTTCTTGACCTGAAAGATGAAGGAATGATCGTAAAATCACTAAATCCAGCAGTCTGCAACCATGCAGGTCTTTTTAATATGCTAACCATACCTAAGGGGAAGAGGTATGTATACAACCCCATTTACCAGCTGGGGATGATCATACAGTCATCAAGTAAGGCTGTTACTTTGATGGTAAATCAACTGCTTTCAAATAATGAAAACTTCATGAAGGAATAAAGGGATTCCACTTTTTGTTTTCACTGTAAATACTCAAGTAACTAAATTAGGCTAGGTGGACTACATATTGGTTACCAGAGGGAAATATGAGATAGAGTACTGTACATTCACCAATACTGTATCACATAAACTGGCTATCAGGAACTTCTCTGTACCATGAGTACTTATGAAATTTAAATATTGAAAAATCCAAGGCTGTTTACAAACACAAAATCCAGCAACAACTGGATTCAAGAAAATTGTTTAAAATTGTGTGTATTATGAATTTTTTTTTACAGATTACTGAGAAAAAGTTACTTACCTTTTCAAGACAGCGTTGCACTCGAAGCAGGCGACCCATGAAAGGTGTTTTGTTCAAATTCAATGCAACCTCCACTGAATCTGGAGACTGAAATGAAAAGTTTCTTCATAATTTGACTTCCTGCATGAGAATATAAACAATATAAAGACTAATTTACAACAGGTTTAGATAGATTATAGCCAAGTAGCTCTCATAATAGACTACTGATGGTAACTCTTGATATACGGTACCTTCCATCCCTCATTTAAGCAAACAAGGTTGAACCCCCCTTTGGATTTACAAGTCACCCCTCCATTCCCCTCACATTAGGTTATATACTTGTTCTCCATGATTCAGGAAGTCTTATAAGTAAGATGAATCCATTGACTTGGAATCCACTAATCTCTAACAAAATTAAAATGAACCAACTATTGTATACAAAAAACAAAACTTACCATGAAGTTAACATAACCAAATCCTTTACCAGAAGCCATTTTCTTATCCCTGATGATACGCACACTTTCTATTTCACCACAGTCTATAAAGTGTTGTCGTAGTGCCTCTTCTTCTGCTTCTGTTGGTTAAAAAAATAAAAATAAAACGTAGTTTACTTCAACATCAATTGAGTGTTTACTGTATACTACTCCATGAAAGTCACTGCCACGAAGAAAACCAATATGGCATTTGAAGAAGACATAATGTGGCGATTAATAAATACTATATTACCTAACACACAATATACCATACACTTGCTACTCACCAAATGTAAGGTTGCCAATAAATAATGAACATTTTACATCTCTTTTATCAGAAGCAACAGCTCGGTCAACTCGCAGGTGCTTCTCGTTAAACTTTATACCATTTGCTTCCAACGCAGCTTCCATCATATCAACGGTCTCAAAACGCACATAAGCGGAGAGAGAGGAACGTGATTCATGGAAGATACTCCTGTGAATTAGAAAGAAAATAGGAGTGATGGTACAGTACTTCTTTCCCTGCCATTTCCCACAATAGTACAAGCTGTCCCAAATCAACACTATCAAACTATTTTTATCATAGATTCTCTCCAACTACTGTTAAATATACATTCTGCCAAGCTGTTCCCCATTCACAAAACAAGACATTTTCCTCTTGATTTCTAATTTTACTGAACCAAGAAATTATCAAACAAAAGAGAATGGGATAAACAAATGCTTCGCTACTCTTAAATATACTGTAAATGCATCACTATCTTTTTCTGTGAAAGTTGTAATGGGAGATGTACTGTTTAAGTCACAGCAACACTACACACAGTAAGATATACTGTTTAAGTCACAGCAACACTACACTCAGTAAGATATACTGTTTAAGTCACAGCAACACTACACACAGTAAGATATACTGTTTAAGTCACAGCAACACTACACACAGTAAGATATACTGTTTAAGTCACAGCAACACTACACACAGTAAGATATACTGTTTAAGTCACAGCAACACTACACACAGTAAGATATACTGTTTAAGTCACAGCAACACTACACACAGTAAGATATACTGTTTAAGTCACAGCAACACTACACACAGTAATATTGTCCTAAGTTTAAGAAGTTGCTAAGAAGTCACAGTCTGTTCGTTATGGATGTGTACAATACTCACTGCCCTAGTCCTCTCACTTGGGTATGCTAGTGTCTCCTGCTACAGTACTGTGATAATAACCACATTGTAGCAGAGATCTGTCAACCTATAGCACCTTACTAATTTAATGTTTTCTTGGAACTGTTTGTCATTAATTATAAGAAAATTATATTCCTGCATAATGAGTCCACAAAAAAAAATAAAAAAAAAATAATATATATATACTGTATATAATAATAATGATAATACCCTGTAATATTCCCTTGAAAGGATGTCTGTAATATAGGAGCAGGAAGCTTGCTCCTCCCTACAGCATCTTGGGTCAGATGTGGAAAGGGTGTCAACCAGATGACCTAACCAAACATGGCAGGACAAGCTCACCAGAAGTAATAAGGGTAATAGAATAACCACTGGCTTCCTTCCCCCATTAAAGAAGTAAATACAAAAATAAAGAAGATTTTACTTGAAAGTGATAGTCAGTGTTGCCAGAGTAAGGTGATCCACAACTCAGTTTATTCACAGTGCGTACATGAGACTTTTTTCCAGGGAATTAAAATACAGCAAACATGAAGATATGGTTAAAACAGTCAAGATGATGTTAGAAATAAGAAATATACAACAGATAAGCATGTCCAGGCTGAGACCACACACGGCCAATACCAGAGGTCTGTTTTCAGATGGTCAACACATATGTCCTTATCATACTGAGGCAAAACAATGTCCTGATGTATATTGTGGATGTACTGAATAACTTACTAGAACAGGTGGTCAGTAGCCTCCCCCAATTAACACTGATTGTTGTGTCCTGCCTGATGCCTTTGCCCAGAATCTTCATGAGCAATATAAGTGAAGGAAAGCATCTCTACACTACACAAGACTGTTTTTTTTAAGTTTACAGTACACAAAAACACTTACTTGATAACAGCTTCTTTTTTGCTTTTCTGGGGTTCAGGTACAGCTGCATTTCTGAATCTCACCGCCTCTACCTGCAAGACAAAATAGACAAATATTTTCATAAAATTTTCCACAAAACACAAGCAAGAAGGCTGAAGCTGAATATAACTCGTTAATTAGCTGCTCTGGTGTCTTTCCCCATTGAATGGTAATTTCTTCAATTATTACTGATTATTTCACCACATATTAGCTTACTAGTCGTTCGGGCGGTTGATCCATTCTTTGTTACATTGCTATGAACTTTATTTGTTCAGTGTTTGTACAGGAGGAAACCTGTGATGTTTGGTAAAGTCACACTGGATAACACCCTTCTCACATGTGTCTGGGCCAAGCAGGACAATGATGACAGTGGTGAGAGATAACACGTTTCCACTGTACCACCAACATCATCGTGTTACTTCTGGTCGGGTACCAACACCCTCAGTTAATTAGTTATGTTTTTACTTCAGAAATTGCCTCGATGTATAGAATAATCACAAAAATTTTTTTTACAGAACGAAGACAATTAGGTACGTGTAACCACTGCCATTTTTTTGATTTGTAAATAAACTGAGCTACAAAGAGATCAATCTCCGGCTATGGCTCACTTTGCATGGCATGTGAAAAGTCCGGTATCGCAATACAGTACTGTCCTTTTCAGTAGCCGAGTGCAAACTATATACTGCACGTATTGCCCCACTGAACTCGGTGCTGAATTATGAAACAGCCAAGCAACAGTGATAAAGAAATAAATTAATATTCACTCAAAATAAGTGATAAAGAAGAGCCCTTGCATGTAGTATACAGTAACTGAGTTTATCCTGATCAACAATGTCTTCTTAAAGTTAGTTAAAGAATATGACATTCTATAAAGACAGACGGAAAATTGTCTGAGTTACGGTCACACATGTAGTAAATATTTACCCCCCAAAACACTGTTTATGCTCATTATCACTAAACATAGACATTAACGTTGCAGGTACCTGGACAGTATACCAAATTTCCTTTCAATCCCAAGGAATTTCTGAAGTGAATAAATGGAAACATGTTGGACAGATGGACCCCCACCACACTTGAGTGATGTATAGATGCAAACAGAAGTCCTGTCAACTCTAACATAACATAACCTAAACACCCCCACATAGTATTGGGTGTTTAATCAAGTGAAATAATCTGGGGAGGGAGAGCTAATCTTCAGGTGATCCAAAAGATGTAACATCACTCCTGAACAAAACTAAAATAAAAAATAGACAACAGAAACAACACAGTGATAACAAAAGCTACCAGTATGACATTATTACAGTATGTACCCACCTTCCCATATTTGTTGAAGAGACGACTAATTTCTTTACGCTTGGTTTTTATGTTCACATTTCCCACAAACACTGTTCTTGTGTCCTTCTCTTTTTCCTCATCATTTGTCACTCTCTTTATCTTCTTTGGTGCAGCCTTTGCAGTGTCTTTATTTTCTTCAGTGTTTACATTTTTGTTCTTCCCAGGAGCTGCAGATGAATCCCCATTCACTTCTGCAGCGTCAGTCATCGGCGTGTCTTTCTTTTCTTCGACACCTTCCATATTTTCAATTTTCTCAGCATCTGCAGATGTGTTTCCATTCTGCACTATACCTCCTAATTTCTTCTTTTTATTCCTCCTCCTCTTCTTCTTGATACCTGGAGCTTCAGCAATTGTCACGTCTCCATTTTCTTTATTTTGATTTTTCTCGGCAACAACAGATGTGTCTCCATTTTCTTGGGTATTTCCTGGTGTCTTCTTTTTCTTTTTCTTCTTCTTATTTTTCTTGGGAATGGCGGACGCGTCAACAACAGTTACATTGGCTTTAAGTTCCTCGACAGAGTCATTAATATTTGCTAAATTCTTCTTCTTCTTTTTCTTGTTCTTCTTTTTGGTAATTGTTTTGTCTGGACTCCTGTACAACAATGAAAATCATATTAAAGACAGTCATTAAACATATTAAAGACAGCCATTAAAACAAATACAAAATGAATTTTAAATACGGTGAATTCTGCAAGTAATGGATCACAATTTAATGGCTGTACAGTAGTCTATTAGAAGATTTCACATGAACTGTTGCTTTCTGGATATCCAATATTTACCTCATACCATATTTTAACTTATTCCTTGGTCTTTCTCTTCAACCATCCTATTTACTGTTCTTTTACTATCCATTCTCTCAACCTGTTCATCCCACATTAGCACACCCCAGTTAGCAGCCCTCTGTAGAACGGCACTGTATTATTGTATCGGTCATCCAGCAAAGTTAGGTTTAGGGTGGGTTAGGTTGGGGTTTCCCGATGATTTTTGTTGTTTTGAACGATTCTGACCTTCATTTCATATAGGTGGATGACAGAAACGATAATTTTACCGAACAAACTAACTTCCACTCTGCCTATATATAGCTATTCATAGTATATCTCTATTTCTACATCCAATTTATCCCAGACGTAACTCATGAGCAGGTTGTATTACTGTATATCAATTATCCGGCAAGCTTGGGAACAGAAACAGATTGGATACTTAAGTAACTTTCTTACTTTGCGACTGGATCTGGCTTGACTTCAGTTTTCTTATTTGCTTTCTTCTTCATTATCAAATATGTGCTGAGTTCTGCTGGGGACCTTTGTGTAACTGTTAGGCCCAGCTAAGGTAATGCTTCTAAAGTCTGCAATATCTGGAAAGAAACAAAGTTGTGATAATTACCAAAGAGACATTAGCATTATTTCTTTACTTCAACCGACCTCGGGTACATCATAATTACAGTACATAATGATTAGTAGTAGTAGTAGTATGTATATTTAAAAGTTGAAGATATGAGCAAAGATGTGTGGAGTACAGTACAGTATTTCTATTTGTTGCTAAAACAATGACCCACTGTGCTCACTTTTGTACCACTATAGTATACTGTACTGTACACTCCTCCATTACTTCCCTTCTATAAGGTTCCAATATCTCTCCTCTCCTCTGCTGTATCAGGAGAGCCATTAGTTACACCAAAGCTAAATGGTTGACATAGCAAGATTTAACTACTGTACCCGATTTGATGGGATAATTTGTTGTATTTTTATTGCTTAAATGGTATCTGACTCATGCAAGTATGTTCCGCCAATCACCGAGTCTAACACCAGTTGATAGAATTGGAAGAAACTTTGTGAAAACGTTATTTACAATCTAGTAAATAAATAAATATAAACGTGAATGCACAGAACCAATTAGAACTTGACCAAATTAACCTAACCTAAATTAACCTGCCTAACCCAATCTAGCTTACCAGAAAAACCTTTTAAAAATTACCTAACGACACCGAAATAATTCTCGTTTCGATCTATATATTTAATAGACTGTAATTAACATTTCCACGAAGTTTTGTCGAATTCTATAAATCACTTCTGGTGTTAGTCTAAAAAACCTACCTGGTACCAAACTAACCAACAACTGAACATACAGGAAATAAGTTACACCTATGCACCTCAGAAAATGCAATAATCAAGGCATGAATTTACTATATGCTAACATTTATTCAAGGTAAAATTATCGTTTCTATCATGCACCTATTTTCCAAAGGTCAGAATCGTTCAAAACACATGGAAACCCATCGGAAAAACAATTTCAACTCAACCTAAACCTAAATTCGCCGGTCCGACTAATTAACCAAATGTAGCCTCAATTAAGTCAAATAATGGTCTTACATGAATAAATTGGACGGCTAATCACTTCTTGACTAGTATTTGGTGTCAGAAAGTCACAAAAAATTGGAAAACTTACTTTAATCTGAGTTAATAGATCGCGTGCATGTACCTAACCTAACCTCGACTAGTATTTGGTGTCACGAAGTCAAAAAAAATTGGTAAACTTAATTTAATCTGAGTTAATAGACACAAGTGCATGTATCTAACCTAACCTAATCTAATCTAACTTAACCTAACACAACACAACTCAGATTAAATTAAGTTTACCAATTTTTTGTGACTTTATGACACCAAATAATAATCGAGAAGTGATTCACAGCCCGAATTACGCTTGTACGACCATCATTTGACTTCATTGCGGCTACATTTGGGTAATTCCTCGCTCCCTTGGTACATGCGCGCGATGTATTAACTCAGATTAAAGTAGGTTTTCCAATTTTTTGTGACTTTGCGACACCAAATACTTGTCGAGAAATGATTGGCAGTCCGATTTATTCATGTAGGACCATTATTTGACTTCATTACGGCTATATTTTGCTACATTTGGGTACATTTGGGTAATTAGTCGGACCGGACAATAATACCTTACTCAGCAACATCATGACCAAACCAACAGTCTAGTTGAGTTACTGCACCCACTATGACAAGTCTTATAGAACACCTGCACATTAACAGGACCACTAACTCTCGACAGGAGCTGCCATGCACAGGCCAACCGGCCTATTGCAGACTCCTTGTGTTCTTATGTTCTAGCAAAGTTTTCTAAGTGAATCATACTCATTAGCGTAAACCCTTCTATCACTTGATTAATTCTAGTTACATTTTGCAGAGCTGTATAGCAAAATAGTGTGTCTGTTATTATTAATAGCTCACAGCATAAAAATTCACTTCCTGACATTGCCTCGAACTGGTACTGTACTGAAAAAATTGACAAGCCATCGATTATTTAATGCCTCTAATACCTAATATACTACATCTTAAGCCTGTAAATATTCAGGTTCATGAACTATAATACAGGGTTCATAATTACAACATATAACTCGTATACGCTAGGATCATACACAAGTTGACAAATGGAATAACTTTTTAACTCGCTAAACTTCTTAACAATTTATCTTAGGTCTATAAATACTAAGGTTCATAAACTATAATATTCAGATAATACTGGACTCATACTTACAACTTAACACTCAGTAACCAACACAGACAGCAGGTACTACGGTAGGCGACAACGTGGTACGCACGCGTTGGTCTGAGGTCCCCCCGGCTCCCCAGCATCCACCCCCACCACCCCCAGGAAGGCTAATGTTATAACGCACACCGGACGTTACTTATCTTATGATCAACACACTAAAGGTTATAAAAATATATAGATATTTATTCAGTAAAATCGTCATACAAGTTTACATTTACCTAGCATGTATATAGATAATGCTGGTCTACACTTTAGCATGAAGGTATTTAAACAATATACTGTAGCTAGACAAAATATCAGTATTATCTTTCTATAAGAGAACAACCTTAACCTATGTGTGACTCAATTAAATATTATAATAAGTTGGTTAGGCTTAGATAAGTTTGATCTGTTTGCGACGTCAGAAAAAAATATGAGTTGATGGGTGTATTCTTGGTGTTTTTTTTAACATTAATTATCAGGAATATCGCATTGTGAACATTCAATACGCTTCAAAGTCTCATTTTAAGTCAACTTTAAGGTATGTTTTTTGTTTAATTATCTTTACACATTAAAATTTCAAAGTCATACTTTCAAGACGCTAATCTTGGCGATATAGCGAAATTAAACTGTTTGTGAGTTTAGGGTCAACATCCCACAATGGAGGGGGGGGGGGGATTAATAGGTTTGACATTTATTAAATTAAATGATTGGAGCTTCACTAATTCATATGAAACTAACTTATTCCAAGATAGTGTGTTTAAAATTCTGGTAGATAACTAACAAAAATCATCTTAAGAGTTACCACCTAACCTAACCTAACCACAACCCCCACAAGTAGCATTAGGATGTGTAATCTTTAGATGCTGGGCTAATCTTAAAGTAAGTAAAACGATGATTACTTGATGTATCTGTAGATTGAGTGGGTGAGGATTTGGTATATTTATTTTTCCATTCATAATTTCCAGCACCGCTTGTTTGTACCCGACCCTTGTACCATACTACCCACATTAGCTGTATTATTTATACGAAAATTCAGCTGATTTTTTTTTATATTTTATACATGCAAGAAGATTATTTAATTTAGATGTATAAAAAAATAGATTAAATTTCTTTAAATAAATCGGTTGTTTCTCAGACTGCGTGCGAGATTCAGTAACAAGTAGAAGAAATTACTAAAAATTATATGGTTATTGTGATCTTTATATATTTGGAAATAAAAGCCGTAGGTGATGCAGAATTGTTAACATTAAAGTGGTAAATAAGGGAGTTTGTTAGTGTGAGGAAGGTTTAGTTGGCAGGTGGACCAGCAGGGGGCAGGGCAGGGAAAGTGTCAACAGTGAGTCATCTCCACCACCTTTGTCTACATTAACGTGTGGCCAGGCAGTGAGGGTGAGTACTACCTTAAATGAACCTGGTGGAGGAGAGGAAGAATGTGTGAGGGAGAGTAGCGAGGGAGGTATTTGCTGATGTGTTGTCTTAATCTTTTAGTTCAGTTCATTATCACTAGTATCTTGTTTCTTCCTCCCTGTGAATGACTGTCTTGTGACTGCCTAACTCGCCTTATCAGATGCCTGGAAAACAAAAACATATCTTGTTGACTTAGGTTGGTGGATAATAACACTTATGATATTTGTGGTATAGTTTTCATTTTATTTACTGTGGCCGATTTAATGTTTACTGTTGTTTGTATACATGCACTGTGTGTGTATATGCTGAACTTTTGTGAAGTTGTATTACGATATTTACAGAGTAACTGTCTCCCACCATGCTTGTATTTTTCATTCTCTGTTGCCTCACGTGGCAGCTTGTAAAGGAATTTGTCCAGAGGTTTTACTAGAATGATTCAATGTCGCATTTTTTGGGTCCCTGTGTCTTGTAGGAGCTGACTGAATTATTTCTGGCAAGAGGTTGTTAGGTAATACTTTGCTGTTCATTTGCACCTAAATTAGATACAATAGTTTAAATATTTTTGTTTTCGGAGAATATTTGGTACTTCCAATAATTTTGAAATTGCATTTCTGATGTTTCCCGTTAGACCAAGTGGAGTTTGGATTCACCAACTAGTTTATCTGTCATCTAATTCCACTCCAGTACAGTATTGGCTCCTCTTATGAGTGAGAGTGGGAGAAGGTATAGGAAGATCTATGCCCTTATTCTCGGTTCTGTTGTAACACCTTAAGTAAACAGAGCGTTACATGACTTAAACTATCATGATGCAAGATTTTCTACACCCAAAACAATTAATGTGTTGGAGCTTGTTTGGGAAAGAGCAGTGTTGAGAGTGGGAGCTACCACAAGGTAATGCAGGTACAGTGATGCTATGATTGATATTCTGTACCTGGTTGCACTTAGGGGCATGAGACCTGAGGTACAATGCATTAATATTTTTACCATAGCGGTAGTGTCTTTGAGTTCATTCTTAACTTAGCTGAAGAGAGTTATTCAAGGGAGTGAGTAAATGGAAATACGTAGTCACAGGAAAAGTAAAAATTTTGGTAGGAATAAAGTCACTTTTCAATTGAATACCATTAACAAGTTACATTAGGTTTGGTTAGTTTAGGTAGATTTGGTTACGTTTGGTTAGATAGGTTACTTTTTGAATGTTTTCTAACTAGACCTAACAACGGTAACGCTCATATCTCTCACCAATATGCCAAGGGTTGAGCCAAGCCTCGGCTAGGACACAGGTGAGAAGGGTGTTATCCAGTGTGACCCTACCAAACATCACAGGTTTCCCAGTCTCTGTTTCCTCCTATACTAACACTGGATAGATCAACTGGACAACAACTAGTAAACTAAAAAGTGGTGAAAAAAATACTCATCTGACACTAGTTATACACTGGCTTATTTCCTACATTAGTCAATATTTAGTCGTGCATTCCTCAGTTATTGGTACAAATATTCCAGCTCTTTATATACTGTACTGTACTTATATGCCTACTTTGAAATTATACCCTGACATTCCCTTAGGTTTTTGGTGTGCTATAGTGCTGGGGCCTAACTCGGTAAGGTACTGTACATCAGGTGGCAGACTGATTGTATCTACTGTATGGTCTCCCCAAAAAGTGCACAGTGTCTCTATGCAGCATTAGTTTTGTAATAAAGGATCTGTCATGGAAGTTATGCAAAATGGACTTACTAAACTCGTGTTTATTCATAAAAAGATGCTCATTTGTTATCAAGTTGAAACAGGCATGTTTGAAGCATTTTTGATCTGAGTCGCTTTGGACGGGTCCGACTAATTACCCAAATGTAGCCAAATATAGCCGGAATGAAGTCAAATAATGGTCCTAGATGAATAAATCGGACTGCCAATCACTTCTCGACTAGTATTTGGTGTCAGAAAGTCACAAAAAATTGGAAAACTTACTTTAATCTGAGTTAATAGATCACGTGCATGTACCGACGGAGCGAGGAATTACCCAGTCCGATTTATTCATCTAGGACCATTATTTGACTTCATTTCGGCTATATTTGGCTACATTTGGGTACATTTGGATAATTAGTCGGACCGGCTTTGGACCACTCTAGTGACCTCATTGCTGGCAGTCTGTGAAGAAGATGCTTTTTGGAGTGTGCTTACATTACTGTATCAGAAAATAGGAAGCCATTTATATAATATTAAAATATTTGTAAAATTAGATGTGTATGATAAGTTTTTATAAAGTTCCATCTGCAAATTCTGCTTCCACAGCACAGGTATTGTAGTAGCAATGTACATTACCATGATTTTGAATAATACTTATCATCAATATTTCATATTTTTAGTGTGTGTAATTGAGATTTTCATTTAAAAACAATATAGTAGTAGAGAAGTTTCAAGAGTCATAAAAGTACAGTTCTCCTTACATCATGTGAGTTGGGTTGTCTTACATAACACTTATTTAAACACTACTATATAGGTACTATATGAATAACGCAGCAGCTACCATGTAGGGGTACTTTATGGACCACATTTAACATAATATTAAAACACAATTAATTGTCAAATGATGAGGAATGTGAGATGTGTTGTTTTCAGTAAATGTTTGTTTCCTCTTACCAGGTTTAAGACCATTAGCAAGGCACTATTATTACTTGTAAGTCTTCCTCAGTGGCCAGAAGCACCCTACTGTAGGTCTGGGTTGCACAGTACTGTACAGTACTAGGGGTGTGGGACACTGTAAGGCTTCAGTTAGAAGCTTGTTGCAGAATGTGTTTCATTTACATCTTGATGATTTGGGGACAATTTAATTTAAATCAAAAGTTATGTACAGTAATTTTGTGTCACTTGTGTACCAAGGGATGTATTTGAACTCTCTGTCTCTTTTCTTACTCATGGTTTTTGTTTCAGCATGGTAGCTCTAGTTTTCCTTGACTAATTAGAATGAAAACTCTCAGGTACAGTACAGAACACTGGGAAAGGGTAACCTTGCTTCAAATATTAATATGAAAAGTTCAGTTTTAAGAACACCGTTATAAATGAAGTGCTATTTTTCTGCATGATACATTCAGTGTCCCTGGTTGTCAATATGATAACACATAACTGTTTGTATGGCTTAATAACAATTACCTAATAGCAGCTCTTCATGTTGCACAGTCACTTGCAGCCTCTCGCCAGGTTCTTAACTTTAATGTTATTTCTTATAACCTCTCCCCATGTCTTTCCAGAGCCTACCTCTGACTCTCCTTTATTGGTAACTGCTAATTAATTTGGAGTTTGAAGTGTTGAAAGGTAACAGGTAGGATGGAGAAGTGGAGATTTGAGTCAACTGGCAGGCATGTGTAGTACTGTATCTTTGAGTCAAAACATTCTTTGATACAAAGCATTTTTTTTTTTTTTTTTACATACTGCACTTAGTACCATCACTCTTGCATTTGTTGTGAGACAATTTGAGGGTAGTGCACTTGGTTAGAGTCCACAATGATGTATGAATGATGAAAGATAGTTGTGGCTAGCACAAATACTGTACTGTACACAGGTGATAATGGCCTATGCCGCACCCAGAAAACACACACCCCCATGTTGTCTACACTCTCCTGCTAGTCAGACCGAGTCAGTCTGCCACTGACTTAACCTCAGAGTACTGTACTGTAATGGACTATAGGTATTCCATAATGATGAAAGGGTTCCGTTCCTGAAAAGCCTTTTGTAAATACATTCTTCGTAAACTGAAGCACATTATCCCATAGACTCCTATTTTAAAGGCTACAAAAAAATCCTCAACATGTCTGAAGATGCTTGAAAAAAATTTTAATGAAAAATTTTGGTGTACACAGTGATTATAAACTATAATATAAGCAAAGGTGAAATGCACGAAGGTTTAAAGAAGTCTCTAATTAATTACTGTACAGTATGGTCTTTGTCTACAGGGCACTGAAAATTTTCAATTGCTGTACTGACCAGTGACAAAGAATGATAAACTGGTTCACTCAGAATTTTGCTCATGAAACTGTACACAAGTTTGTTCATTGCATTTTATACCCTAAAACACAGTGCTCGGTAAACCAAATTCTTGTTCATTGGTAATACGTTTAGTGGGACTTGCCTGCTGTACAGTACGTTATTAAAAGTAAATATTTCTGTAATGTTAATGTTGTGATACAAATTTTCGTTTCAGCTAAGTGTGCGGCAAAATGAGGTCAGATCAAGTATACCAACCCACCACCACCACACTCACCTATGACCGCAATAAGGCATGGATGCCGTCCTTCTTAGCACAAAGCTCCTCTGGGAGTTTATGGTCGCGCACGCTCATCCTCATCATCTCCGTCATGTTTGCAGTAATGGGTTTGGTTAGTATCTTTTTTTGTAGTGTTATTATTTGGAAGATGAATACAGTATATGTTGAGTACAGTACAGGTATTTGTTGCATGCTATAAGATTTTTTAACTTTATTAGAAATATGATGCTGTACTGGCAGAGAATAAGATATGATATTTATAATTCTATATGGTTTAATATTTCTGGTTACAAGCATTTTGAAATTTGTGCTGGTTAAATTTTGTTTACTGATCAGTATAGTAATATGTCAAATCAACAGCAATTTGTGTATTTTTTAAACATCAACAATATAAGAGATTCTTCCTAAGTGAATAAATTAACACTTGAAAGATTGACTGAACTTTAAAAAAAAAAAACATAATTATTTTATTAAATATTCTAAAAACATAAAATATAAACAGTACTAAATTAGTATAGATGGAAACAATTTAAGAGTTGATATTGAGTTTAACCTTAACACCCTGTTATTAGCTGATGTCTAGTTGAGGTGACCCATGTATAGCCAGGCAAGTGTACATGTTGAGAACCAGGCTCTGTATATATCTCTAGTTGTATGGGTCGAGTTAAATTATTTTTTTTGTCCACATTTTATGTACAACATCCCCTCACTAGACTCGTTATCTCATTTTTGTTTCATTTTTTTTTTTACTTTTTTTTTATCTATCATGTTGGGGAAAAATTATCTTGTGTTATGTCACCAGGTGATGATTATTGTTGGAGCCACATCCTATCAGTCCCTGGAAGAAGGCTCAGTCAAGGAAGTCAATAGCACAGCTTACATCATTATCCTGTGTCTAGGAGTGCTGTTAGAACTGGCAGCCATATTGGCCATCATCTTCTACATGAGGTGAGGCATGTCACCATCTAATGTTTTATACACTTATGCCTCCAACATGTTAAAAAAGTACTGTAGTATATTATAACTTTTCCACCTTGATAATTTGAAATGATCGATGAAATGCCTTGATATATTCTCCAGTCCATCGTCCTGTGTTGGTATGGCTGCCTGACGGTTTTCAGATATACACAACATATGTATTTATAAGATGTCTGCCAGAATGAAACTTAAATTAATAGAAATTTTGAAATTCTGGCAGTTCTCTGTACATAGTGCTACAAGATAATTGGGGGGGATTGTGTCAATAGTGTTACCTCTCTCTATTTGTCTGTGTGGAAACTCCTTGTGATGAAGACACATAAAATACTGTATATGTACTTTATCAGAAATATTATCACAATTCTAGATTATCTTCCCAAATAAAACAGTAATTTATCTTACTGTTATCAATTACTGTACATGACATTTATAATAGACTAATTTTGCTAACTGGTTGAATGCCACTTAAATAGTTTGTTTATACTTTTTGGGGCAAATTACTGTACTGTACTTTCTAGCAGTGTAGCTCTCATAGAGTGGGGGGGGGAGGACTTGATAGGGATCCGTAAGTCTTCAAACAGTCCCAGCATCAGCTAGGGGTAGTTTATTAATACTGTATACCCTGCCCATATCACTAGCACCACCACATACAGTTGTTGCTGGTTAAGTTGTTTTTATATACTTAAGGACAGCTTTACAGTAAGCATGAATTTGTTTGGGTATGTTTTAATATTGTAGTTATGATTAGTGGGAACAAGAAAAATTGTGGTTAATAGATGTGGAGACAGCAGCAGCCAGGTCAACTGACTGGTTCAACCAGCTCTTCTGCAGACTTCATCTGCATTTATCTCTTATATTACAACTTGTGTGTTTCATTGCAGTTCTTTTTATAGTTGTGGGTTTGATATACTGAACCTGGTACAATACTGGAGGTTTGGCTTGGGCCCATCGTGTGACTCGTGCCTTCATGCAGTTGGGTTCAATTGTAAACTTTTGGAGTTTTGGATAAAGGATCCTTGACCTGTATTTATCATTTTACCCCCTCTTGTAAGGGAAGGATACAGTGATTATTGTCCATGTTTGTTTGTTGGTCTTGGACAATTAGTTATTAAAATCATCCCATTTGCCAATTGTAAATTTTGTTTCAAATTTTCCACAGAATTTGGTACAAAAGGTTTACAATATGGCTGGGTAATATATATATGCACGGAGATGAATCTGCTCTAGTATCTTTATTTAAATCTCTGTCTTGCCTCTATATGATTTGTTTATGGGGGTGAGGGACTGAGGATCATAAGAAGTAATGCATAACAATTTCTTAACATTTATGTTTGATAATTATGATTACTGTATCTCTCTTACAGAAACATGGGCTACTACATTCCTTGTTGTCCGGGCAAGATCGCTCGCATCAGGAAACGCCTTCACGAAAACCAAATGATGGTCAATGGACAGGTAAAAATAATTATTTACTCCCTTGTGTTTTATAAATCAAGTTTGTTAAATCTTCTCTTGTTAGATGGATGTACAGTGTTTGAATTATTTTTTGTATCTTGTACTTACATTTACTCTTAATATAATTCCCTTTAACCCTCATCAATAACAAGGAAACCTGCCTAACCTTTGAAGGCTGATACAGGAATTAATTTATATTTGGAGGGAGGTGACAGCTAAATTGGTGGATATTTATGTATACGTTAAGGGAAGTAAGGTAGACTTATAAACAAAGTGCTCTCCATGTTCACAACTTCATGGAATACCCTCTGTGAGGTCATGGGTGTCCCAACTGGCATCCCAAGTGTAAACCACAGTGTGAGGTGGATTATGATTCATATATTTATGTACAGGCAATCCTTGAGTTATGAATGGCTTACATTCCTGGAACCTGTTTGTAAGTCATAACCGTGTTAATTCTATACTTTAGGTTAGGTTAAAGCACAACCCTGCCTGTACAAAAGAACAAAGACGTAGTTTTATTACATGGCTGTTTTTTTGGGGGGTATGTTGGGTTAGATTTTTCTGCATATTTACGATATACAGTATTAGAATATGGGTAGATAATTTTCACAAGATGTATATGCATTTATAGATGGTGAGCACCGGTGAACCAGTGTCAGCCCAGTACTGCCCACCAGCACAGCCTGGTGTTGGCAACACTCCTCCACCACCATACACTGATATATCAGAGGAACAACGACTCATGGAGGAAAAGACTGATCTTGGGTAAGTTTGAAAATGTTTTTACACTTGAGGCTTGAAGTTTTTCCTGGTAACAGAATAAGAGTTTTAGGAGAATTACTATATGTTTAATAATAAATCTATTACCTGTTGTCTCTTCCTCCCCCACTTGTGTCTAATGCACCAGAAGGTACAGAAACCTCTGTAAAGGGGGAAATAGTATTCAGGAGTTGTGCGAGAAAAATTTTGCAAATCTAATGTTTTTATGGAACAAATATTGTGAAACAAGATATAAATGGAGTTTCACCCATCCTACAATTTACCATTTAGAGGCAAGGTTGTAAACAAGAGAAGCAGGATGTAAGTTGGGGATCTTTCTTCAGCGTTGACAATCCACAGTCCGGTCATTTATCAACAACTGATCCTCCTTTGATGAAAGTCAAGTAATTTGCATGATATGAGGTCTGCTGGCTAGAACCCTCAGAGACATGCTTGTCCTCATTAACAATATGGAGTCCAATTATAGTCCTCCAGTGAATTGCAGAAGAGTCTGGCCCTGGGTGAGGTTGTTCCCTGGGCCTCATACAATATGTGAAAGGTGCTGTTCTGTCTATTCCCAGTAAGTCAAGGACCACTTGTGGTGATGGCTTGGCTATGATGTATCAAGTTACTCAATGTGCTGTACCAAGGCCATTGTGATAAACTTTAAAGCCCTCCACCCAGAGGATTACAGAAAGTGCATAGAGAGACTGAAGTGTTCAACCTGACTATAGGGTGTCCACCAACACTGTTTGGAGAGGACCAGCAACCTAATGCTTCTCCCTGAAGTAAAGTGCTGGGTCACCTGATCAGACTCTTCTAAGACTACTGCATGAAGACCCAGTGCAGCAAGACTCACCAATGGCATGACTTTTGCTGAAGCAGCTGTTGTCATACTTATTACAATTGTAAAAGGGAGGACTACTACTCCTAGGCTTAATTTGGTTATATTTAAGTTATGCTGATTATTGGTAAGCTTATGTGAACTTAAATTTAAATGTACACCAGGAAACATTATACCTAGTGCAGTTAGATAATTTTTCCCATTACATGTAGCACCATAAATTATTTTATCCTTTCTATTATATGACCTCTTCTTTCACCTGTTCAACCTAATGTAGACATAATACTGTATTAGATATATTTTAATACTGGGTAATTGTATTAGGAATTTTAAGTAGATTTAATAGATAGCAATGAGATGATTGTAACTATAAGGTGGAACTGCAGCAAGTTTTGTTTATAATTGAATAGATTAGTACAGGTATATGATTTAAATTCCAACCTCGTACCTGTATATAACCAACTCTCCTACAGTGACGACACAGAGCGCATCCTAGAAGAAGACCCACGAATCGTCTTGACACCCCTCAAGCCCCATGAGGAATGTTAGAACCTTCACCCAAGTACCTTGTTGGTAAACCCACCCTTACCACAGGTAAAGTAGTTGGTAGTCCCATTAGTTTCATATTCCTGCATGCCTAATTCTTACTCACTCCCACTGGGTCACACAAGTAGGGAGGCCAGTGTACTTGATATGTAATTACCTCTGTTAGAAGCTCATATGTCCTCAACATAACTCAAGAATGGAGGTAACTACAAAGCTCAAACTTGCCACGTGTGTTCACTATGACAACCCAAAAGTATGAGAAGGTTTATCACAAATTTGTTCATAATAGCTAATTCACCCAGTGCCTCCACTACTAGACTCCTCTCTCTCCTTAGTCCTTCTCTAGTTCATATTAAAAGTTTCCCAGTACAGTATTTACACTGACTAAGTTTTAAAATGATGGAAGTGTAACAAACTCTGTACAATATGCATAAATGTACAGCCAAAGAAAAAGGTCACGTCACACTTACCATGCATTATGTTCAGAAACTAACGACAAAGAGTTTTGGTAAAGTTCCCCATTAAGACTTGAACCTCGAAGCTTCGCTCTCATTTTACCAAAATTCTTCGTCATGGGTTTCAGAACATAGTGCATGGTAAGTGTGACGTGACTTTTCTTTGACTATGCTACATAGTTTTTGTTAAAACTCACTTTGGTGAAGCTCAATATAGCAGTAAATTTGGTGTGTATGTATCCACATGCTCATCAAATATACATCGACCTTTGTGTTGAAAGCATTTGTGAGTGGGCTTAACATCCAGTGGTGGGAAAACCAAAATTTTTTTGTCCTCATCTTTCAAGGTCTTACAGCAATGTTTTTTCTTCCAGCTCATTCTGGTCACTGAGTTGCTGGATAGAGGGGGGAGTGATAGCTCTGCCTGGCTTCCTTGCCCCTCTGGCATCCACAGATACTTTGACACCCAGCTTGCTAGCTGAGTCAGCTTGGGATGTCCACATACAAGACGAAGAAGAGAAATATTGTGTTTAGTGTAGGAACTCACATTCCTGATTATTTAAGACTGGATATCTGAACCAAAGGAAATCAAGAAATTTGCATACATAGATACTGTATATTATAGTGTGTGTTATTCTGCATTCCATATTAACATACCGTATTGTAAGATTGACTAATAGCAACAATATTTTATCTTGTCAAGCTGCATGTCCATTATAATGGCAACCTATTTTCATGTTAAAAACTTAACTGTTGGAGGAGATTACCTAGTTATGACAGGATTAGTGTATTCAGAATTACATCCTGCCAATCTTTACACTGACAGACTAATGATTTCTATTTAAGCTGATAAGAAAATATTTACAAAACAAAAAACTTCAGTTTATTTTGAGTGTGATTGTTTGGTCTTGTGTATATTATATTGATGGCAATATTTTTGTAATGTATTCAAGTATAGGTAGATATAGATAAAGCTACAGTAGTCTTGAGTTGAAAAGAAATGTTCTAGAAATGGTGTTCTAGTAATTTTATGTTGAATGAAACCTATTTTTTTAATGCAATACAATATTCAAATGGAATGACACACTCTTTGCCAGTTCACTATAGCTGTGAGTTTACCTCACACATTTGACCTTAACTGCTGGGAAGTTAAGAGTCCAACCCATTCAAGTAGATCATTTGTGTCGTGCATTACTATAGTGCATGGCCGGTGTGAATATCAAAGTCAATATTAATGCAGTTCAACAAAAGCCCTTTTGAGTATCTGAAGACTACCATTTCTTATTGATTGTTATTAGTTATTTTTACCGAAACCAAAGTTTTATTTGACAGTTAAATCGATTCGATGATGGCATTATGAAGACGAAGGCCAGGATGAGTACTCTTAATTAAGATATAGGATGTATTTAGTGTGGGACTTTAGTTCACTTGTATATGTGGTGTAAATGTATATGTCCATATACATTTACATACATACAATTATGAGGAAAATATGAAATAATTGTCTGTATCAGTTTTGGATGTAGTTACTGTACAGCCAGTCCAGTTGATTGGGAACATTGGTTTACCGTCCATTGAAATATTTGCCATTCCAATATAAAATTTCCTGCCCTGAGAAACATAGTTAGAGCCTCTAGCATAATATTCTATTTGTACATTTACAGTTTTTTTCTATACATCTACAGCAACGTACGCAACGTACATCTCGCTGGATCTATGTTAAACACTCGAGTTGCTGACTGTCATCAAACCCATAGTTGTCAAGGTTCCTCGGCATCTGGGCTCAAACCAAAACACCACCATCTTCCTTTCTCACTTAAGATATTCTGTGAAAATGATTCCAGTTATCTGTAGCCAGCAAGAAGTGTGACCATTTTTTGAAGATTAATCAAACACTCGAGTCATGAGGGAAGATTTAGGTGAAAGGATATTGTTCATGACAGAGTGAGAGACAAATGTTAAGTACTGTATGTGACTTAGAGTGTAGCTGAAGAGTGTATGGCAGATTAGTTGTGTGATTAGAGAATTTAAGGCAGGTTTGTAGTGTGACCAGAGAATGGGTGACTTACTCTTAATGTGACTGGTTTAAGTATGACCAAAGGAGACATGGTAGACATTTAGTATGAGAAGTGTGATTAGGTCCATAGAAAAATACTTAATGATATATCACAGCCATAAAAATCTTTCAATGAATGGCCATTTTTATAAATACACAGGAGTCATTAAAACAATTGGAGCCTGGACTGACTGGAACCTACAATTGCTGGTCTTAAAGTAGTACCTTATAACTGAACTATCTAATTCAACCGTCAACCAAGTAACTTCTTTGAATTGTCATGGTTGTTAAGGGTGACGAAGGTGGTGGAATTTAGCTAACATGTCACTTGAAACTTTCATATAAAATGGCTTGCTTAAATGAGTTTTGAGATGACCGGAAAATGACAGCTTTCCTTAAATGACATGCAACTAATTCTAGCATTGCATTCAAAATGGCCAGTTTGAATGTGCTTAAGGAAATAAACTGTGCTTCCCTACATATTGCTTACAACGACTATTTGTTAATGTTGATATTTGAAACGTTGATCACTTTGGTTCCAGGAATGTGATTTTTTTTTTTAGTTGACTGAGATTGTCAATATTTGGATATAATTTACCCTGGTATGTAGTACTGTACCGTATTAAAGTCATCTTAATGTTAGTAATATTTACGTCATTATGCGTTCTCTCAGGACTGGCTTTTGTTCTGTTGTTATTATATATACTGTATTAAGAATGTGTTACTTGTGTCCATGTTTAACTAGTGTGGACAAGGACATAAGCAATGGCCTCTTAAATCCCTATTAATCTTGGGCAGGATATTGACAATATATTAGATTGGAAATTTATCTAGGGTGTGATGTCTTCTGTGTAAATACTGTACAACAAAACCTTCTTCACACACACATATACTGGACTCATAAACTGCATCTATATTTGCTTTAATGTACTAACTAGTCTATAGATGAATCTGAAGTAAGATTACCTGGCAAAAGAGAAGCTACACCATGAAAGTAATGATTATCTTTCATCCAGTGACAAGGTACCTATTGACATATTTATAATTGATTTCCTCTGTGGGTGGTTCATGGTGTGTAGAAATCAAAATAATGGAGTGAGTAAGTGGCTGAAGAAAAAAAATAATGTATACTTTCTGTTAATTGTTTGTTGAATGCAGAATGGTCATTGTTAAAAAAGAACCAAAAAATAGCACGAGTCACACCTATCCTGACAAAAACTTCCGTTGGACACTGAGGTGAGGATCATGTTTGTTGGTTTATAGCGATCATGTTTGTGGTGCTTTTCTAACATTGGCCGTTATGCCTGGTTGACGACATAGGTACTGCATTCACGTACCTGCAATATTTCTGAGGGTATTTGGTAAGGGTTGCAGGATGGTCCCTATAATTTCTTAACATTTACAAATTATAGGCCATTTTATGCTATAGTGCTGTGTCTGTCTGTCTTTGTCCATTCATCTCTCTATTATACAGGTATAATGTCCTCTGATAGTGTCTTGTCATGTTTTAACTTACAGATCAAGTTTTGTTTTGAGAGTGATGGCATCTATATTTTTCTTTCCTATTTTTTCAAGTTATATTTCATCTATTAACCACCTCAGTCTGAAAGTATTACGGGCACATCTTGGCTCATTAAAAACCCCATTATTTTACAAGGGGCTACTTCTTAAAGAATTTCACTGCTAAATAATATAGTTGTATAAAGACTAGTGCAGTCCAATCTATTACTACCTTCTCTACTCTCAGGATATGAACTTATGCCAATATTCAATTAAACATTTGCGTGATAATAAGGTCATCTGTAATTGTAAGTGATGCTTGAAGTTTACAGCTAAAGTGTATTGTTGTGGTTGCCATACTTTAAGTTTTACAATATCAACAATGTCTGTCATTTTATCAACATTGAGGTAAATGAAAAACTGTGTACTGTAGATGTTTATACTATGTCAGAAATATAAATCTTGCAGGTGTATGTTTCTATTTATTTTAGTTTATTGGTAATGGGGTTGAATCTCAAGTGTTGATTAAAACTGTCAGTGTTTTTGTAAAGTTCATGTTAATTGGTTTACATGATGTTATTGCAGATAAAGAAGATATTTTACTATTATTAGGTTAATTTATATTGAAAATGGAAAAATAAATGGAATGGCAAATTGGTTAGTCAAAGAAAATGGTTACTGCCCTTCTCCTTAAGATAGCTGAAACTTGAAGCACTTATTTTAATACATCTCTGGCATGATTCTCATCTCATTTTTACTTGTACATAACTTCGATGTTGTCCAATATCTGTGTCTTACAAGCTGCTTGCCTGTGTAAAGTCACTAAATTCCGTCCCACTTCATGCGCCGAACTACTGAAGCTGTTTCAAGTGTGACACTCCTGCTCTCTCAGTATAAATATCACTTAATTCATTGTGATTTAGTCACTCTTGTAACTATTTTGTTGTGAAAAATTTACTGTGTTTAACATCTATTATGCTTGGAATTGTGATTTTGATGGAATACAGTGGAATTTCTGTTAACCTGTCATAACCTGACCTGTCACTTATCTACAGCAACACAACTTATTGGTTCTTATTAAATAGAAGGACCATCATTATGTTACTGTAAGACCTACTGTACATGGTGGTAGGCACCTAATAGTTAACAGAAGCCATTATGAATGTTTTAGTGATTGTGCATCTTATGTTTTGTGTGGCCTTATTCGTGTAAGTTTTTGCTTATTTTACGTTTTGTCAGTTAGGATTGTTTAAGTTAATCTTTTATTGTATTATAGTATGAAAAACATGGAGCTTGTCATAAACTTTATAGTGTACTGTAATACAGAATATAAAAAATGTACACTTTTTAAGATTGCCTTATTTACTCTGTGGACATTTTTAACTGTTCAGACATGTACTGTACAGAGGTAGAGAAAATACTTCAGGTACATCTTATGGATTTATTAGATGAACTAAAATACGTCCAAATGATGTATTTGTGTCGGATCCAATTTCAACCACAGAACTTTCCTGATTTTTACAATACCACCAGTACAGTACAGGACTTTACAGTACAGTACAGTAAAGCTTGGAGAGCTTCATTTATCTCAATAAAATGAATTTGTTATTAGTAGTGACTTGACATTGTGTCCTTACCTTAGTGATACTTATTGTCTTGTGACTATAACTACATCTTATGAAGTTCATATACTGTACTGTACTGTACTGTACTTGTAAAACATATACAGTGTATCATTTAATGTTTGAATAGCAGGACTTGCTGTCATAATCTATTTATTATTATCGGAGAAAGTAGCTGTGATTATTGTTATTTGGTGGTAATTATTTTCTCCAAAGTGAGTTCACTTACAGTTACATTTTCAACATCCATCTTTAATTAAATAAGTAATGGAAATCATCACTCGTACAAATGTACATCAATTTCAGGTAAAGGTCAAATTATGGTAGGGTACACTCTGGAAACATGAGCACTTGTAATTAATACTACAGTATGTACAGTATTTTTTTTTCACTGGTTGTGCCTCTTGATAAAAAGACTAACTAGAACTGTACAGTATGTTATATAACAACAACTTTAATAACTGCTCTTGTAATCATGCTGTAACCATGGGTCTCACCCACAATACAGTACATATAATAAAATTATGCAAAAACACAGAAATGTATATTGTAGTACAAATAGTCAGACCAAAACTAATGTAGGGTGTTTAGATGAGTTTGTTTGATTTATGTACAGTAAGTGTTGTCATCACACACACCAGCCAGTATTGTACACTACAGTATATATTTTTAGGTGTTTTTACTTGAATGCAGGACCAATGATCTTCGGTGACTTTGGCATTTTATTAAAAGTCGATAAAATTTTTCATGACAATGTTTCATGCCATTTTGAAAGTTGTGTTTGTTTGCAGTATAAGATTTGGAAATATAATTTACCCAGGCCTGTCTGTCTTTATCGGTTGATGGAATTTTGTGTTATTTATTTTTATGCTTTTTGAAATGTTATATTATCATTATTGGTGATAAGTGGTAGTCAGTTAGCTTTAATTCCTGAAACTTGATCTTATCTTTAATCTCGAGCATTTCTTCATCTTTATTGTTAGATAGAATTGTACCCAGTACTAAGGTGTACTTTATTTCTGTGTTGCTTCTGAGGTCATCTCAGGCAATAGCTTCAAATTATCACCCATAAAACACTGATCTATTGAAACATAAAAAAGTTCCATTTTGTAAAAAATATAAGACATCTTTAATTGGAAATGTACTCTTATCAGAAGTTTGGTCTCATTTTTAAAGGACGTATCATTATTCTGCCTCTAAAGGCATCATGTGTATATGGATGTGTATCAAGAGGTGCAGGTATTCCTTAATACTGTACGGTGTCGTAAAAAATATTAGCATCCAAAGCTGATTTCTTGATTTGTCAGTACAGTATTGTAGTGACTTGATGTACTCCTGTAAATGTTTTGTTGATAATTGATGAATTAAATGATTTGGTTTATATGCCATGATCATAAATGAATTCTTTACAGGAGTGTCTCTCGGACTCTATTCTGTCCTGTAGTAGTGTTCAGCGATAAAGGTAGATGACTTGTATTTTTGTAATTTGGATGTTACCGGTATAATGTGCTTAATTATTGTGGCGTGTGATCATGACACTAATATAATGGAAGCATTGTGTAGATTAGAGTGTTAAGATGAAATTTATTGTTACATATTATGAAATTTTAAATATTTTCTTGATTTAAGCCTGAAAATTGTGCCTTGTACTGCCAGTGTATATGGTCAAAGCTCCTTATATATAAGCAAATGTGTGAAAAATTTGTTATAGCTATAAACTATTACTGATGAATATATTAGATGTATCGTATCAAAAGAATAATTGACTTCCATTGCCTACTGCACTCTTGATTGGAATTTTGATTATATAATCTTTGATAGGATAAAGTACTGTACAGTATATGTACTATAGTTGTAATCACACCTGGCATTCATTCTCTTTACTAAATGCTCTGAGCATCACTTCCTCTCTAATTCTGAACTCATTTTGATAAGTCAGGAGGGTATTTTGCTTTGTTTTGGAAACTAGTAGGACTGCAATAATGGTTTATCACAAAAAAGAAAATAGCAAAACACCTTTTGAGTTTATTAAGTTATTCACAAGTTGGTCCATATAACCTGTCTAGTAGCTAACTGTCCAAAAGTGTGTTTCTGGTCTTTAAGAAAATAGGTATACAGTAGTTCATTGGAACTTTGTACAAGGTGTTTGATACTTTGGTGTACTGCCTCAGAGACTGTCCAGTAGTGTAATAAGCACATACTGTATTACTGCAATCCGTTTCTATTTTAGTTTTGTATTAAAATATCTTCGTGAAGGTATGAGTACTGTACAGTTAATGTAATTTGTTTTAGTGTTGATTGTCCAATAGTTTAAAGAAGTTGGTAAATTAAATTGAGGACTAATATTGTAAGCAATCAATATTTTTTTTAGTATTGTATTCATTAACTTTTTTTTATCATTGGTGTTGGTTACATATCATGGGATTGTCATTTATTGGTGAATACAAGACATTTATTGAAGATGGATAAACGATGCCAATTCAGTATAATATATCTTGGCTCAAGTTTTAAAACCAACTTTTTTGGGGGGGGGGATATTCATGGGATTGATATAAGGTGGTGTGGCGAAGGATCATCTATTTGACCTGAATTACCCTACGTACACTTAACATTTATTAGTAGTCCACAGGCAAGCTCTCTAAGTCTTGCACATTTTATCTAATTCATTACTTTTGACTACAGTAAAGCTTTTACAATATACTTTGGTCAGAGATTTGAGCTAGAATGCCAGGGAATTTTACTGTTCTATTATATTCTCTGTATAGTAACTTGTACATATACTGTGGTAGTCACACACAAACCACCAGTGACACTTTGATTACTGAACCATCTGTTACAATTCAGGAATGCCTTGCTGTGCTCTTTTCAGCCAAACTTAATTGTCAGGTTTATTTAGCTTGCCCAAATACTGTCCACTCTTTTGTGGTGTGCTCCAGTTAAGAGTGACTTCATAATCTTCACAGAAACTCAGTTAAGGGACAATTAAATGATCAGTGTAGCATGAATACAGTTACTTTCAGCCTATATAATAAATTCAGAAGTGTCTAGAATAGGAGTGACAAACTTGCCACCCTTCCTACATTTTTTTTTTATCAATGTTTTTCCTGGTGGTTCAGGTTTTAGTTTGTATGGGACAGTTCATCATTTATATTCTATTCACCTCTTTATTATTATTATTATTATTAATATATTTATGTTAAGCAACTTGCCATGACACATTATCGTGCAATTTTTTTTTAATATGAAACATACAATAAATTGCTCATTCATTTGATATTAGTATTTAAGAGCAACTTATACTGTTCACAGAATATGACCACATGGAATTATTTTGTCAGGCATTTATTATATAGTACTCAAGTAAAGATTTAAACTGCACTGGCATTAAAGATTGAAGTACTGTACAGGAAATTTGTTTGTATTTTTATCAGCCAGAGTTTCCCAAGATCTGTTTTATTATTGTGAAGCTCGGAGAAAGTAATTAATAGTAGAAGCTATTTGATCCTGTTTTCAGCCTATAATGTCAGTGAAGATGACTGTGTGGCTACAGTGAACCATCGTGGAGGATGATACTGTACTGTTGTTTTATGGTTAAAGAAAATGGTCTAACTACCATAATGGTTTTTTGGAACTTAATAAAATTACAGCAGTTATGATTTTAGATAAGTCGACATTAATACTGAATTACAGAATTACATGACCAGTGCAGAATACTGTAGTCCTGGAGGTGAAGGTTCACTGTTTACCCACTCACAAGTTATCATTTTTTAATCATGTTACATATTTATAGTGGTATTAACTTGCCACTAGCTACTGTACTTTGTCATCTAAACATTCCAATTTCTTGTTGTTATGAAAATTCTTACCCAAACCTCTACTGATAGCACAGTGTGAATTTTTTTTTTTATTAAACTTGCAAATGCTTTCGTAGATTTTTGTCTTCACCTTAATTATTTGGTGTGTGTGTGTGTGTACAGTAACTTCATAAAAAAAGACCATATGAATATTTGCTCCCAGGTTATTCACCTGGTGATTAAAAGTCCCTGACTACTGGGAAGGATTAGGTTAGGTTAGCATTAGTGAGGTTAATCTTAGGAAACGTAAACTGGACGGCCGAATCTCCTAAGTGATCTGAAAAGGGCAGTGTATTGTACTACAGGTTTGTTTATATACTGTATACAGGGTATGAAGATTGTGATTGGATTATAACATCTAAACAGCATACTGTATATTGAAAAATGCTGTGGAATAAAACTTGTGCACTCTGGGAGGTTTATATATAAATGAGAACCCTACAGTATCACTCACCGGTGTTAACATAGACCAAAAACAATACAGTAGTAATCATACAAATACAAGGGTGCCGTTTTATTTTAATAACCTCCCAGACCTTGACACTGTCGTATCTTTTTACTGCACTTAGTACTTCTATGAAGATTGGCTGGGTCCTTCTTATTCCATAATACATACGCCCTTCTTATTCCATAATACATACGCCCTTCTTATTCCATAATACACACGCCCTTCTTATTCCATAATACATACGCCCTTCTTATTCCATAATACACACGCCCTTCTTATTCCATAATACACACGCCCTTATTCCATAATACACATGCCGTTCTTACTCCATAATGTACACGCCTTTAATTCATAATATTGTACACACGCCCTTAATCCATAATGCAGTAAACACAGGAATAGAATAAATCCTGGATAGGCTCATCAGATGAAGACGTGGAATTTAAGCAGGAAGGCAGAAATAACATTTTCCTCTTCGTGCAGCCCACGGGGGCGGGGACCCCTTGAGGGAAGTTATTGAAAGCATAATGTGTTTTCTAATGGTAGACCCTGCTACCATATGGCACCACAAAAATTGTGACCACGTCCCAGGTTGCTGATCTGTTTTTCTGCCACATTTATACACAATTGCAGGGTCTCAGTTGTCTCTTACTATTGACAACACAACAAATATATCCGTACTCACTCTTGATCTCTTCTATTCATTCTATTTTATTCTTCTTTGTCAGTTGATATTAATACTGAAGCGGGGCCTTCTCGGATGGGTCCCACTGGTCGGGAAGGTTGTGGACCCCAGGGCCGACCTGATCATCATCAAACTACTGACGCCACTGTCGTTGCTGGGGGATCGGCTTTTTTCACTTCATTTTTCCAACATTTGCGGCCTGCGATACAATTTTCCTTCTGTGGAGCACCATCTATTAACCTCTTCCCCCAACTTCTTACTACTTTCCGAACTTCAACTGACCAAAGCAGCTTCACCCAAACCTTTTCAAGTCTCCTACAACTTTTATACCTCTTTCCGTTCTAAGGGAGGGGTATGCGCCTACACCTCACGGATCTTGAATCTTCCCTTTATGATGTCATCTGGCTCAAAATATCTCTACCAACTATGACTATTTTTCTTTGTATCCTATACTGTTCTCCCAACTCTACCAACTATTTGGAACTCTTTGACTATCTCACTTCTTGCCATGAGTCGTTGCTATCCATACATCCCAACACCGAGATCCGCTACCTAGGGGATTTCAATGTACATCACAGATAGTGGCTTGGCTCTGCAAGGGATGACCCAGGTGGAGCTGAGGCACTCTCTTTTTTCTTAATTAATGATTTGGAACAAATAATCAAACACCCTACACGCGTTCCTGATCGACACGATCAACTTGCTAACATTCTTGATCTTTGTTTTACCTCTAACCCCTCATACTCATTCATATTCAATTTCTGCCCCCTTAGGGTCTTCTGATCACAATCTTATTTTTATCAAATCAAACTGGGCACGACCACCTCCCCCACCCCCCTCTAAACGTCAACTATGGCACTATCGGAGGGCAAACTGGCAATCCTTGCGAGAATTCTTCACTGACTTTGCTTGGGATGAATGTTGCTTTTCCACTCGGGACGCCTCGGTATGTGCTGACAGCATTGCTGGGGTTATGCAGGGTGGTATGAGTGCATTTATCTCATCTTATACCAAAACTTTCACTTTACAATCATGGTTTGATCGCTCCTGCTCTCTTGCATGCAGGGAGAGAGATAGGGCATATCAAGCTTTGAAACTATCTCCTCCTATTACCCACTCCTCTTTCGTTACTTCTAGGAATCGTTGAAAGGCTATTCTTCATAGGGCCAAGCGGAATTTAAAAAAAGAAAGACCGCTGTCCTGACTAATTCTTCCTCTAGTAAATCCTTCTGGTCCTTAACCAAAAACATCTGTAACAACTTCTGCACCCCTTCTTTTCCTTCTCTCTGCCGACTTGATAACTCTATAGCCAACTCTCCCCCTGACAAAGTCAATCTCTTTGGCACCTAATTCTCCTCTAATTCCACCCTAAACAATTCCAACTCTATCCCTCCTACCCATGCACCTCCTACTAAACCTATGCACTTTCCTATAATCTCCACTCGGAGGGTTGCTGGTGTATTATCCAGGTTGGATGTGAGTAATGCTCATGGATCGGACGGAATGCCCCCTCGTGTTCTGAGGGAGTGTGCTGAAGCTCTGGCCCCTGTGCTTGCTCGCCTCTTTCGCCTCTGCCTCAAAACCCACACTTTTCCTTCTTCTTGGAAGCATGCCTTGGTTCAGCCCATCCCGAAGAAGGGTGATCATTCTAATCCCTCTAACTATCGCCCCATTGCCCTAACTTCATCCCTCTCTAAGATTTTCGAAACCATCTTGACTCCTATTTTCTCCGTCACCTCGAACGCCATTCTCTTTTGTCGGATCACCAGTATGGCTTTCGCCAGGCGAGATTTACTGGTGATCTGCTCTCCTACTGCACCTATCTTTGGTAATCCTCTCTTAGGGATTATGGAGAAACTTTCGTCGTGGCTCTCGACATCTCCAAAGCATTTGACAGGGTATGGCACAAGTCTTTGCTTTCTAAACTTCCCTCTTCTGGTTTCTCTCCCTCACTTTGTTTTCTAATCTTTAGCTTCCTTGAGAACCGATCCATGGCAGACGTTGTCGAGGGATCTATCTCTCGCTCTTTCTCTACCAATAGTGGTGTCCCACAGGGTTCTGTTCTTTCACCTATTCTTCTGTGTTTACATACTCATACAATCTGTCTCACTTTAAAAAGCTGATTTTCCGGCATCTTTGTGGTGTAGTTTAATATAACCTTTTCCTTTTATATTTTCAATTTCTTTCTATTTTTTTTTGGTATTCCCCTACATCCTTGTGTAAGGTGAAGCGCAGAAGCGTTTACAGTGCCCAACAGGGAGTCATGCTAAGTTCATGCTTGCCTTTATGTCTCATGAGTTAAGGGAGTAGAAGCCTGAAGAGTCAAGGGCACAGAAGCCTGAAGAGTCAATGGTTTATGTCATCAAGTTATTGGAAGCTCCAACAACTTGTCCCTGTATACGAATTCGCAACTTTCGACTTACAACAGGTACCTACTTTACTGCTAGGTGAACAGGGACTAATGGAGGCTAGGAAGTATGTCCAAACAACTTCCACCGGCCCGGGAATCGAACCCGTGACATCTCGCTTACGAAGGCAAGAGCGGTACCACTCTACCACCAGCACCCCCCTCTTTCTAGTCTTATTTGTTCCGCCCCCCAGGCCCTGCTAGGGTCGTAGTCTTTCCCCCAGGCCCCGTTGTGGGTCGTTGACTTGTGCCGGGTGGGTTAATCCCCGTAACAGTCTAACGAGATAAACCAACACACTCTTAGAGTCATTGTACATTTTATTAACAGCGGGACATATTTATCTTAAATGTATCTGTGTACCAGACTGACATATGCCTCACACAGTATGGCACATATTGTAATTGTTATATTGAAGAAAAATATAATTCTCACCTTCATGCTAATTTTAATTCCTGTGTTTAAATGGTAAATCAAATGATTTATAACATGTTAATACATCTTTCCTTTAAGAGGACACACATTAGTGTGTTAAGGTTTTGTAGCCAAAAGATGAAGGGAGTGTTGGCAGCCTTGACCTGTACAGTATCAAGGGAGGTCTGAGGCGGACACACGGAAGCCATTTTCACTATCAGCGAGGTACACCCTTGTTTGGACTTGGCCGTCGGGGCTGATGTACTTGAAGAAGCCGTAAGTGCGTCCCTGACAGTCTTTAGCCTCGGCTCGATTGTATGGACCACCCGACTGGTGGAAGGCGTACTGTCCTGCCCTGTTTTGAGCTTGGTAGCTGCTCGGGAGGTCGGTTGGGTTCATTGATGGATCCGCTGTAAAAAATCTTGACAGATCCAGTGAAGGGCCGTTACCACTTGAGACAAGGGCAGCCATGGGTCCTTCTGGTAGAGAGTTGCGGTCTTCACGAGAGAGTCTGAAACACCATTATTTAATGGGAACAACTTGGTGACGAGGGACTCAACCGTAGATGGGACTGACACGTTAATAAATGTACAATGACTCAAAGAGTGTGTTGGTTTATCTCGTTAGACTGTTAAGACGAGAGTAAGATAAAAGGTGTCATCAATGTTAATGTTGACTCGTGTAACACATGAGCAGGTCGTCAACAACAGTAACATAAAGTGTATAATATGTAAACAAGAACAACATCATACATATTATTATGGTTATTTGGGCTGTAAGGATAATTTCCTTTATCCATTGGGAAGTTATATTCCTTTTGTGGTAAAATAAACATTAGGAAACAATTATACCAACACATATGTTTTGCGTTATTAATATTTTTGTATGTTTTAACTGGAAATACACACGATTTTTTTTACAGTGGCATTTAAAAAAAAAGTTACATATCAGTTTCTTCTCGTTTGGTCGTGGAAGATATAGAGGCGAGGAGACGGGCGTTGGCGGCCTTGATCTCCGCTACTTCAGGTGTGTCGAGGGGAAGGTCTGAGGCTGCCACGCGGAACCCAGATCCACCACCAGCAGTGTACTTCCTCACCTCCACACCTCCCTCAGAGTTGATGTAGGCGAAGCTGCCGGAGGTACGTCCCAGGAAATCCCTCACCTCCATTCGGGTGTTAGGACCTCCCCAGTGGCTGAAGGTGTACTGTCCTGCCTCATCCTGGGCACGGTACTGACCTCCCACGTAAGGAATGACCATTGAGGGCATGGGTGGGTCAGCGACAAGTATGGGCTCTGGGGAAGCTGCTCTCATGGTTACTGTTGGGGACATAACAGCAAGATCATTCACAGGCATGGACGAGACCTCCATGACAGAGACTGAAGGAGGTGCTCCGACCATCATGACTGGGGCAGGCATACCCACAGCTGGCATGGACTGTTCTCCCAGGATAGATATAGCCAAAGGCTCTTCGGCCATCATAACAGCAGCCTGCATAGGTTCTTTGACTTGCATAACAGGGGCAGGCATAGGTCCTGCGGCCTTCATGGCAGGGGAAGGCATAGGTTCTGCAGCCTTCATGTCAGGGGCAGGCATAGGTCCTGCGGCCTTCATGGCAGGGGAAGGCATAGGTTCTGCAGCCTTCATGTCAGGGGCAGGCATAGGTCCTGCGGCCTTCATGGCAGCATAGGTTCTGCAGCCTTCATGTCAGGGGCAGGCATAGGTTCTGCAGCCTTCATTACAGGGAAGGCATAGGTTCTGCAGGCCAACATCCAGGGGCAGCATAGGTCCTGCGGCCTTCATGACAGGAAGGCATAGGTCCTGCGGCCTTCATGACAGGGGGAAGGCATAGGTTCTGCGGCCAACATGACAGAGGAAGGCATAGGTTCTGCAGGCATCATGACAGGGGAAGGCATAGGGTTCTGCAGCCTTCATGGCCATGGAAGGCATAGGTTCTGCAGCCATCATGACAGGGAAGGCATAGGTTCTGCAGCCATCATGACAGGGGAAGGCATAGGTTCTGCAGCCACCATGACAGGGGAAGGCATAGGTTCTGCAGCCATCATGACAGGGGAAGGCACAGGTTCTGCTGCCATCATGACAGGGGAAGGCATAGGTTCTGCAGCCATCATGACAGGGGAAGGCATAGGTTCTGCTGCCATCATGACAGGGGAAGGCACAGGTTGTTGAGCCATCGCAACAGGGAGAGGTACAACCTTAAGAACAGGGACGGTAGAAGCAATATTCCCGGTAGGTGAGGCCAGGGAGATAGATTTACCCTGTGGGAGAGAGAACTTGATGCCAGGCGGAGGGATGCTGATCACAGATGACGGGGTGTCGGGGAGGGGGATGGCGCGGAGCTGACCCACCCAACAGCTGACCATCGCCGTGACTACAAGCTGGAAGTTTAACACAATACCATGAGAAAAAAACAATATATTCGTTTCAGATCTTTTTGTCTTCCACTGCTTATGTAATATTAAAGGTGCTTGTGATATGCAACTATCTATCTAATACAGTTTGACGTAGCGCTGTATTTTATTGTAATAGTTTATGTCAGATCACAGAAAGATTACTCACCCCAGCTTATTGCAACTGGTGAATAAACACCCTATTGCTACCTGAGAGGGGTTAGGTTAGGTTATGATACGTTACTTTATGCTAGGTTGGGTTAAGTTAGATTGAGTTACTTTAGGTTAGGTTAGGTTATTTCATCTTAAAGTGAAATAAACTGGAATGTTAATGTTGTGGGAAGCAAAATATCTTACTGCTCAAGCCACAAGTCCCCGCACGTGAAGCGCCACCAAGCGATACAGAAACGATGTACCGACTAAATATTCATCAGAGATTTTCCCCATCACCAATCTCTAGTGATTGGTTAATTATCTTGTTCTAATCGTTAACTACAATGATCAGATTAATATTAAAATTTTCATCTATAGTCATAAATTAATATAAACTTTCTTGTTAATAATATTGTACACACAGCAAGTTGGTGTAGTGTGAGTCACTCTTGACGCACTTAGCTCCCTCGTGTACAGTCCCCTTCACTAGTGCGTTTACAGGGACGTGTTATATAAACATTCCACAAAACATTATATTGAGATATTTGTTTTAATATTGTTTTACTTTGGTTCCATAGTGTGTTTATTATTGCCAGTTTCCTTCTGTCGAATGTAAACAAACACAACGTTGCCACACAGCACACAACCTGACGAGCCCCTGTAAACGCACTAGTGAAGGGGACTGTACAGTCCTTAAACATAGAATTTTCTCCCAGGCAAACACTAATTAAACACCTGTTGAACTGCAATCCTCACTTGGTAATAAACTAAGTATCTGCAAAACACGTTTACCTACAGTAGATAAATGGAAAGTGAACAATAAATTATCATATATGACCCGTAAACGGTAGAAAGTGAACAGTAAATCGCGCCTGAATTTCTGATCTTTCAGGGAAAACTGGAAGACTTGATTTTACAGAGTGAGCAATCTAGTATCGAGGCGACGGACGGAGAGACGGGTGGACACAGGACAGAGTATACAAACGTTAAACAAGGTATGTGGGCACGCCAGCTGACCGTACAACACAGTGAGTACATGTGATAGACGGAACTCAGACACGTTGGGTTAAGACCACACGAGAAACACTTCAATAACCACTTGATTCATTGACAATGTTGAGAGACTGTGCGCCTTACCAGCATCCTCATCCTGGCTGTGTTGAAAAGATCCTTAAGATGGGCAGATGAGACCCGTCTTACTTATATATCCTCGTGTCTTGTGCCCCCCACCCCATGTCCCCGTCCTTGTTCTCCACCCACGATCCTTGCCAATGGCTCCCTCCATATCCCTGTCTCTACCTTGCCCATGGCTCCAGTGGTCCTGCTCCTAGTTACAGCCACTTCTTGGCTTACGTAACCACCGGACTGCTCTATATATGCACAGGTGAACGAAGCCTCATAGGACAGACCTTCCACACGCTGTTAAACTGACTCTATGGTGAAGGTGACAACATTAGCACACATAATAAATCACTTTTATTATTTATTGCAACACTGGTTTAATATATCATGATGCATTACTGTTATAGTTGGTTACACTGTGCTTCTACAGTTCTGGTTCTTGATGTGTATCGCTACAGCTAGTGCTTGTTGCTACGTAAGGTGTACAGTTACCAGTTGTTACCATGTAGAGCTACAGTAAGATGTTACCACGTGGGTCTACAGTAAGATGTTACCATGTAGTTCTTCATGGAAACCTTGCCTAACCTAGGCAGTGTTAGGGTGTTTAATTATCAGTGTAATGAGTTGGGGGTCAATCTTCAGGTGATGGGAAGTATTTTATTTTAACATTGACACGTTTAAGTAAAATCGATATTCACTCATTGACATCCTCCTCAGGTGTAAGTACAAGTTCAGCCTTCACTCTTGTACTCATAACTAACGAATTTATTATTATTAACCACACATTTTGCTTGGGCCCAATCTCCCCACCAAGTTACATCGAACTTACTAAAATTAAAACGGATTCCAAGAGTTAAAATAAGTCCACAATTTCTAAACAAAATGTTCTCCAGAAATCATTGCTCGAGATACTTGATCTAAAGACCATGTCTTCCAGTCTTCTCTTGTGATGGCAGTGATCCAAGCAACGCGTCTTCGTTTTTCTATCAGAAATTTACCTATTGCCAGGCGATAAAATGGTAAAGATTTGTATTGCCCAACTTCTCTATTCGTACAGCCTACGGCCCAGCAACTGTGAGATATTCTACGTATTTCTAAATCGTCGAAAACTACAGTAACTTACAGATAGACTTTGCCGGAAGAGTTGATCAACACGCGATGTTTGTTTTGTTTTGCCTCACAGGATGAAACGTGGTGCCAATATCGAAAAAATATTCGTATTTACCTAGATTTTGCCAAGGCTTTCGACAGCGTACCCCATAAAAGGCTGACAATTACACTGTAAGGGTACGGGATTCGCGGAAGTGTCCTATAGGTGCACGTGGATCAGAGACTTTCTTCATAACCGCAAGCAGTGTGTGGTGATTAATGGCACGAAGTCGTCATGTGTACCCGTGTCAAGCGAAGTACCACAGGTCAGTGTACTGGGCCCGTTGTTGTTGTTTTTTTTGTTTTATAAATGACATGCCAGAAGCTATACATTCCTCCATAAAAATGTTTGCGGACGATGCCAAGATAATCAGGGAAATTAAGAACCAAATGATTGTGAAGAGCAACAAAAAGATTTCTGCCGGTGTCAAGAGTGGTTAAGATAATAGCTGTTAAGTCTTGTGTTAAGATTCAATGTCACGGAATGCAAAAGGATGTACAGTTGGGGTTAAAAGTCTTGGACACTTGACAGTATTTGGCATGTAAGTACCCGAAGATCTTAGGTATTAAGGAGAGTTTTATCCCATTTTGTGGTGCAGGCATAATATGTGGTGACAAGTAGTGTTATTAGTATATCCCAATCATATATATATATATATATATATATATATATATATATATATATATATATATATATATATATATATATATATATATATATATATATATATATATATATGTATAACTCAGAAGTAGATGCCAGATATTGCTAAGTGTCCAAGACTTTTGACCCCGAACTGTACATAGGTCGTACCAACAGTAAAGACAGTCAGCCAATTTGACAAGGGACAACTGCCAAAGCCATGAGATGCTTTTTTTAGTAAAGTCCTTATGTCAGCAACATCTGGTATTCTTAGGGCCAGGCGGTCACCTATCCAAGTACTAACAAGACCCATCATTGCTTCACTTGGCTGATCGGACAAATACGGCATTTCCATCTGGCGTATCACTTGTCCCAGCAGGATGAAGAAACACCATTAAAGGAGACCAAATATGAAAAATGACCTGAGTGTGTATCATTGCATGTTGACAACGAACTGAAGTTCTCGGACCATTGTGAGAAGGTGAATCAAGCAACTAAGCTGGTAAGTCTTATAAGAAGGTCGGTCACATGCCTAAACGGTGCTTCCCCGTCTGGAGTACTGTCTTGCCCCCGAGATATGCTAGGGACTGCGGCACCTCAGGTGCTCAGAGATTAGAACACCTGCAGTTGCCCAGCTTATACAGTAGGCGGACAAGGGGTGACTTGTCTATAAACACCTCAGGGGACATTACTTAGTTAGTCGAGTGTCCATACCTGGAATTGACGGACGCCCTCCCCACCAGGGGTCACAACTTATCCCTTTCGGAAGCAATGTACAGTATAGCCATTAGGTATTTTATTCTGGTGAACTCCAGACTTTTTTTTTATTCAGCTGAGAGAAACTCTGCCATTTAAGGGGTTAAGGTTAAAGAAGCCCCAAGTTCAGAAAACTGTCAAGGCAAACTTTTTGGGAGTTAGAATTGTAAACTCTTGGAACAATCTGCCAGAGAGTGTTGTGACGGTATCGAGTGTGAGCTCTTTCAAGACCAGACTTGACCAACACTGGAGTAGGTACAGATACATTCAGGAGCCGGTGCATGCCCTGTACCTGCCAATAGTGTGTAACAGAGACGTGACCGGCTGCCCAAGCGGCTAACGAGCCGATAACTGGCGAAGAGGATAGAAGTAAAAGTAAAGTATGAAAATTTGCAATTTTTTGTGGAGAAACAGAGGCGGTGTACGCGTTTTATTGAGGGACGGACAACTGATTTAAAGAAAACTATAACATAAAGTTAAGGGGACACTTATACTTAGTGAACACGACTTTACAAAAAGTGGTAAGGGTTTGCCTCAGCTTAAAACATCGTCTCGCGTTAGCTATAATAAAATATCTAGATGCAACACTACTCATTAATGGCAAGACAGATTATACAGTATCTTGTACAGAGAAAAGTCCTCCAGTTGGTGGCACTGGCGCCTGACCGTCACAAACTATTACCTCAACACACAGTAACATTTGATACTAGTGAATTAACCTGCATTCTCGAGACGTAATGGTATTATTGTTTGTATACCTGCAGTCTATGTATATTGTATACCTGCAATGCCTATATACATACTGAATCAATGTAAATTTTTATGACGATTTTACTGCACATTTATCTATCTATCTATCTATCTATCTATCTATCCGACTGCTTAATTTTGATCCTTTTCAAGAGAGGACAGCTAAATCTGGCGTCAATAATGCTTGTAACCCTTTTAGCGGCTTTCAAGGGGCTATCCCAGTCTTAGTTGAATCGACATATTGTTTGCCATTGTCTACATGTCTACACTTATTTATGTTTATATATTATAGACCTTTGTGAATCTCTGGGATGATTTAGTACACTGTTTATATACGAGTACAAGATAAATCAATGTTAACGCATATAATGGGTCGTTTAGGTATCTATTCATAGCCAAATGTCAAAGGCGGGAACAGCGTCTTGATAAAGGGTAGACGCCACAGCACACACACACACACACACCAGTTGCTAGCGGCGCCGTACATACCCAACCAAGCCCAATGGTCACCTCCCCTGCCACGCCCTACCCTGCTACCCTCCCTCCTCTCTGCCACGCCCTACCCTGCTACCCTCCCTCCTCCCCTGCCACGCCCTACCCTGCCACCCTCCCTCTCAACTCTGCCGCCCTGCCCTGCTACCTCCTCCTCCCTGCCTCCCTACCCTGCTACCCTCCCTCCTCCCTGCACCACGCCTACCTGCTACCCTCCCTCCTCCCCTGCCACGCCCTACCTACTACCCCTCCCCTCCTCCCCTGCCCGCCCTACCCTGCTACCCTCCCTCCTCCCCTGCCACGCCCTACCCTGCTACCCTCCCTCCTCCCCTACTTCACCTACTACCCTCCCTCCCCTCCCTACCACACCCCTACCCTACTACCCTCCCTCCCTCCCCCTACCCACACCCTACCCTCCCTCCTCCCCCCCTGCCCTACTACCCTCCCTCCTCTCTACCCCACCCTACTACCCCTCCCACCCCTCCCCACCCACCCCTACCCCTGCTACCCTCCCCTCCTCCCCTGCACCCTACCCCTGCTACCCCCTCCTCCCCTGCCACACCCTACTCTGCTGCCCTCCCTCCTCACCTGCCACGCCCTACCCTGCTGCCCTTCCTCCTCCTATACCATACCCTACCATACCTCCTCCTCCTTCTGTAGGATTTAAGGATATTTTATGACTCCTACGGGGCCTTGGCTGCCACACCCTGCCCAGACTCGCAAGGCCAAGTTCAGGGGTTGGGGAAAAAAGTTGAACCGTGGCGGGGGTAGTGTTGGGCCCTGCAGGAATTCTCTCTACTGATAGATGGCAGGAGACAAGGTGGCCAGTGTTGAGTAATTACCCCGAGTTGCATCGCTAAGGGGGGTTTTCCTATGACCAACGTTAGAAAATTACCACAAACTAGGCGGCCAGAACTTAACCTAACCTTACGGAACATAAAATAACCCTGGCATCTAATTGTAATGGTTAGGTTACGTCAGACTGTGGCCTATATAGGAGTGTGACTCGTCAGAACTGTGACCCATTACAAATTACTCCCATTAGAACTATGGCCCATTTGAACTATGACCCATTAGAACTATGACCCATTAGAACTGTGACCCATTAGAACTGTGACCCATTAGAACTGTGACCCATTAGAACTATGACCCATTAGAACTGTGACCCATTAGAACTGTGACCCATTAGAACTGTGACCCATTAGAACTGTGACCCATTAGAACTATGACCCATTAGAACTGTGACCCATTAGAACTGGACTATTAGAACTGTGACCCATTAGAACCAGGACCCATTAGAACTGTGACCCATTAGAACTATGACCCATTAGAACTATAACCCATTAGAACTGTGACCCATTAGAACTATGACCCATTAGAACTGTGACCCATTAGAACTGTGACCCATTAGAACTATGGCCCATTAGAACTGTGACCCATTAGAACTGTGACCCATTAGAACTGTGACCCATTAGAACTGTGACCCATTAGAACTGTGACCCATTAGAATTATGACTCATTAGAACTGTGACCCATTAGAACTCCATTAGAGAGACTTAGTTGACTTACAGTGAAACCATAATTATCAGCACTCACAGCTTCTAAAGTAACAGTCGCAGGTCAAGCTTGTTAATATTTTCACACTTGTCATGAACAAATTTTTTTTTATTTTATTCATTATGCCAAAAAATTATTTATCATATTTCAATTTTTCACTTATCAGTTGACTTAAATGTGGATCACTAAACATAAATGTGGATCACTAAACATAAATGTGGATCACTAAACATAAATGTGGATCACTAAACATAAATGTGGATCACTAAACATAAATGTGGATCACTAAACATAAATGTGGATCACTAAACATAAATGTGGATCACTAAACATAAATGTGGATCACTAAACATAAATGTGGATCACTAAACATAAATGTGGATCACTAAACATAAATGTGGATCACTAAACATAAATGTGGATCACTAAACATAAATGTGGATCACTAAACATAAATGTGGATCACTAAACATAAATGTGGATCACTAAACATAAATGTGGATCACTAAACATAAATGTAACTTTGATATCCATGTGAATGTTTATATTTTGACTGAGCTAATTGGATGAATTTTTTAGGTACTGTAAATATATTAGTTTTATCATTAATTTCAAGTAACACTATAAGGTAAAACTCACCCCAGGTAAGTGTGTGTTAGTGTTGTAAGTATGTGTTAGTGTTGTAAGTGTGTTAGTGTTGTCAGTGTGTGTTAGTGTTGCCAGTGTGTTACTGTTGTGAGTGCATGTTAGTATTGTGAGTGCATGTTAGTATTGTTAGTAAAGTGTGTTACTGTCAGTGTGTGTTAGTGTTGCCAGTGTGTTACTGTTGTGAGTGCATGTTAGTATTGTGAATGTATGTTAGTAAAATTCAGTGTTGTAAGTGTGTGTTAGCGTTGTGAGTGTGTTAGTACAAGTCAATATCATGAGTGTGTTAGTACAAGTCAATATCATGAGTGTGTTAGTACAAGTCAATGATGATAATATAATATAAGTACCAGTAACTCAATTAAAATGACCTTGAAAGAACACATACGAAGGGGCTACACTAACACACTTACTCTGGGGCTACACTAACACACCCCCTTACTCTGGGACTATCTCACGGTGCCTGGCCAAAGGAGTGGGTCGGGGCGGAGGATGAAGAGTGGCCCATTTCACCATAAAAAGTTGCTGAGGTGTTACTAGGGGGTGAGACCCTTGGCTGGAGGGCTGGGAGGAGCCACAGATGACCTTTGAAACAGACTCATCATCATCATCATCATCATCATCATTACGTTAAGTCCCCTTTGTCTGGAACACCTTACGTAAAATGCTTAAAAACCGATTATAAAAGGGATTATATACCTTAAATAAAATATCGAACTCCTTAAAAAGATAATTCTCATAGTAATAAAACCCCTAGTACGTGTGTTTATGAGAGGGACACACACACACACACACCACTGAACCAGTACGAAAAGGGTATGTATGTATGTATGTGTGTATGTGTGTGTGTGTGTGTGTGCGCGCCCAGCGGATGTGAGACGAGGTGTAGTTAAGGCAGATGATTCCCCCTTGAGGTGAATCCAGAACAGGGTGTGGCCAGGGATGTTCCGGTATATAAGAGGGTAGGTACCATCTGCCTACCATCACTTGCTCTCAACTTCCGACACACACAACACCACCATGAAGCTTCTGGTGAGTATACTGTAAACTACTGCTGGTGCGCCTTCTACTGTAGCATGTTTGTGTATTGTACTACTGGTATTAGTATTATGGTTATCGTCATTATTACAATTATTAGTAGAGGTTATTAGTGTTATTATTATTATTATAAGTAAATATAGGAGTTGTTTTTATAGTTATTGTTAGTATCGTTATTGTTTTTTTTATTTTAGTAGTAGCAGTTATTATTGTTAGTGTTATTATCAATATTATTAGTAGCAGTAATTATTGTTGTTAATATTATCATTACTGTTTATTATTATTGTCATTACACCTTTTTTACTCTGGTCTCTCTTCTGTTTACATCATTTATCAACCACTTTCTTTCCTTTAATATTCTTTTACTTTATTTTCCTCTTATCTGAATCCGTTTTCTTCTTTGTAAATGTTTCCTTCTTCTTAACTACTTCCCTCTTCTTCTCCTTCTTAACTACTTCCCTCTTCTTCTCCTTCTTAACTACTGCCCTCTTCTTCTCCTTCTTAACTACTTCCCTCTTCTTCTCCTTCTTAACTACTTCCCTCTTCTCCTTCTTAACTACTTCCCTCTTCTTCTCCTTCTTAACTACTTCCCTCTTCTCCTTCTTAACTACTTCCCTCTTCTCCTTCTTAGCTTCTTCCTCTTCTCCTTCGTACTCTTCCCTCTTCTCCTTCTTAACTACTTCCCTCTTCTCCTTCGTAACTACTTCTTCTTAATTCCCTCTTCTTCTCCTTCTGCTTTACTTCTTTCTTAACTACTTCCCTCCTTCCTCGCTTCTTAACTACTTCCCTCTTCTCCTTCAACTTCTTCCCTCTTCTCCTTCTTAACTACTTCCCTCTTCTCCTTCTTAACTACTTCCTTCTTAACTTCTTCCCTCTTCTTCTCCTTCGTAACTACTTCCTTCTTAACTACTTCCCTCTTCTTCTCCTTCTTAACTACTTCCCTCTTCTCCTTCGTAACTACTTCCCTCTTCTCCTTCTTAACTACTTCCCTCTTCTCCTTCGTAACTACTTCCTTCTTAACTACTTCCCTCTTCTTCTCCTTCTTAACTACTTCCCTCTTCTCCTTCGTAACTACTTCCTTCTTAACTACTTCCCTTGTCTTCGTAACTACTTCCTCCTCCTTCTTCTTCTCTCTTGTTCGTCCATCTTTATTAGCTTCTTCTATCTTTCTGCTTCTCATCATTATTCAAGGACAAATTATTCCATCTACTTAAGTTAACTAATCTCTATCCCATTCTCTCTTTCTTCCCCTCTTTTATCAATCTCTATCCCATTCTCTCCTTCTTCCCCTCCTTTATCAATCTCTATCCCATTCTCGCTAACCTAACCTAACATAACCTAACCAAAACAAACCTAACCTAACCAAATATAACCAAGACACCATTTACTCTATATATTATGTCAGACAGCCGCTCCTCCTCTGCCGCGAACTGCTGGTAAACAACTTTCTGATTTTGAAATTCTGTCGTAATTACATTTTCTTTTGGAAATATTTCTTTTTTATCCAACTACAAAGTACAGGTGTCCGGTGTCCGTCTAGCTTATATGTGGTGGATATTTGTATCTCTTTTATTCATTCCTGGTTTTTTAATGTAATGTTCCTAGATCAGGTACGGGGAAAACCTGTGGAATGACAAACTGGGTAATCTTATCTGGAGAAAGGTAGGGGGAGACGTGAGAATGTTTAAGTCTCCCCCTACCCTACACGCCGCCTCAATAGTTTTCTATGAGTCGTACAGGTAAACTATGTTATTGTTACAGGTTGTGCTCCTGGCGACGGCGTGTTACGCTGCCCCCTCCACTAACCTGATGCAGGTCCTACCTTACGCTACAGTCAACAGCGGCGCCATCGTTGCCCACGCTGACTCACTCAGCCCTCCCGTCGTCAGGATACCCGAGCCAGGCATTAACTTGGGGGTCCAGACTCCAGTACAGTACAGTGGCCCAGTCCAGGTTGCCACTCCATTACAGTACACTGCCCCAGTCCAGGTTGCCACTCCAATCCAGTACACTGCCCCAGTCCAGGTCGCTACTCCAGTCCAGTACACTGCCCCAGTCCAGGTCGCTACTCCAGTCCAGTACACTGCCCCAGTCCAGGTTGCCACTCCAGTCCAGTACACTGCCCCAGTCCAGGTCGCTACTCCAGTCCAGTACACTGGTGCAGCTCCCGTTATGGCTGCAGTCCCCGTAGTGGTGGCAGCTGCCCCTGAGCCACTGCTTGCCCAGGACCCACCCATGCCCTCAGTGGGCGTACCTCACGTGGGTGGTCAGTTCCACGCCCAGGATGAAGCAGGACAGTACACCTTCGGCCACTGGGGCGGCTCCAACACCCGTATTGAGTCGCGGGACTTCCTGGGACGTACCTCCGGCAGCTTCGCTTACGTCGACCCCGAAGGTGACGTCCAGGTGAGGAAGTACGGCTCCTCCCCTGCCACAGGCTTCAGAGTAGCAGCTTCAGACTTGCCGGCGGACACACCCGCTGTAGCTCAACTGAAGTCCGCCCACGCTCAGGCCCGCAAAGACATCCAGAACCTGGCCAAGAACTCTGCTGTGACCACCGCCTAAAGTTCCTCACAACACCACACCTGCTATGCCGTACCTACCTGGTAAAGGTAAAGGCTGACTTCACACACCTGACACAACTGTCACTACAGTGATCCATTGTCTCACTGTTAATTATGACGGCTGCCGGTCATACGGCCTCAGTTCTAATAGGCCCCAATTTAAAATATCCAATAGTATTGAGGCCCATTGAGCTTGGAGGTTAATTAACCAGTGAACCAGACTGGGCTTCAGAAATGTTGTGTATTACTAAAAGTTATCTATGACAAGATAATTTCATTGTGATCCACACCAGTGTAGATTATTAAAACAAGTTACTCTATGTTAACAGAGTGACCACTGAACACCATATAGTAAGATCTTCTCCCCAGAATGTACATGGAATTATACCAAACATTAACCTTATTACCTGAAGGTTGAAATTGTTCCGTCTTTTAAAAAATAAAATAATTTTACTTCCTACTTTAGTTTCTTCATACCAACGTACACACAACACGTACAGTCCCCTTCACTAGTGCGTTTACAGGGGCTCGTCATATAGCCTAGGTACAGTCCCCTTCACTAGTGCGTTTACAGGGGCTCGTCATATAGCCTAGGTACAGTCCCCTTCACTAGTGCGTTTACAGGGGCTCATCATATAGCCTAGGTACAGTCCCCTTCACTAGTGCGTTTACAGGGGTTCGTCATATAGCCTAGGTACAGTCCCCTTCACTAGTGCGTTTACAGGGGCTCATCCGGGTTGTGTGCAGTGTGCTTTAGCCCCGTGTTTGTTTGCATTCGACAGAAAGGAAACTGGCAATAATAAACACACTATGGAACCGGTAAACAATATTAAAACAAATACCTCAGCTGAAATGATTTGTGAAATGTTTATATGATGAGTCCCTGTAAACGCACTAGTGAAGGGAACTGTACCTAGGCTATATGACGAGCCCCTGTAAACGCACTAGTGAAGGGAACTGTATCCTAGGCTATATGATGAGCCCCTGTAAACGCACTAGTGAAGGGAACTGTACCTAGGCTATATGATGAGCCCCTGTAAACGCACTAGTGAAGGGAACTGTATAGTAAGGTTCCTAACACATCTCTTATGCGTCTGGTTCCATGATAAGATAGATATCTGATAATAACTCCGATAAGCTTGTTACCATAGACGTATTCCTGGCCCTCAGCGGATAGATAGACAGATTTTAACACAGTAAAATTGACAAACAAATATATAATAATTGAGCATGTATGTAAACAATGCAGTTATGTAAACAACGCAGTTCATTTAAACAATACAGGTATGTAAACAATGCAGGTACTGTATATAGACAATGCAGGTATATAGTAAACAATAAACTGCAGGTAAACAAACAATAGTAAACAGTAAGACAATTCGACCAAGAACAGACAATCAGAAAAGCACCAAAAACACACAACACACAGATATATCCTGTCTGTCTGTCTGTCTGTCTGTCTGTCTGTCTGTCTGTCTGCCTGTCTGTCTGTCTGGCTGTCTGTTTGAAGGCTGTTGACGAGTATGAGCTGGTATTTAAAATCTCATTAAGCAGTACTGTATCCATTACTTTACCGAGAAGTCCGGTATTGAGAGGGTTTACTGAATTCATTACTTTACTGAGAAATCCGTTATTGAGAGGGTTTACTGTATCTTGGTAACAAACTATTGATTTCTTTCTGGATCACCTGAAGAATAAGACCCTACTTTAATACACCCGAAGATTGGGTTAGGTTAGATTGAGTTAAAGAAGGGTAGGTTAGGTTAGGTTAGGTTTAGGTTAGGTTGGGATTGGGTTAAAGAACGGTAGGTTAGGAGTAGGTTAGGTTTGATTAAGTGAATTAGGGTAGGGTAGGTTTGATTAGAATAGGGTAGGTGGGAGTAGGTTTGATTAGAGTGGGTTAGGGTGATTGGGTTTGATTAGAGTAGGTTAGAATTAGGTTAGGTTTGATTAGAGTAGGGTAGGGTAGGGGTAGGTTTGATTAGAGTGGGGTAGGGTAAGATGGAGTTTGATTAGAATAGGGTGTGGAATTAGGGTAGGTTTTGATTAAGTGGGTTAGGGTAGAGATGAGTTTGATTAAGAGTAGGTTAGGGTAGGTTAGGTTTGATTAGAGTAGGGTAGGGTAGGGTAGGGTAGGGTAGGGTAGGGTAGGTTAGGGTAGGGTAGGGTAGGTTAGGGTAGGTTAGGGTGTTGTTCTCGCCAAAATAAGAGGTCAATGGTGTGCCGGACGAGTTAAAAATATTTTCTAAGAGTGAAATCAATGGAGAGTGAGAAGAGTCAGTTCAACCCCCATGGTATAGTGGCAAGGTTAATGGCCAGTTGAATATACACGGTGGTCTGATACGACGACAAATATACACGCATACACACATTTTACACACACACACATACACATTCTTCTTTCATTCAAATACATACATACATTCTCCCTACACACACACACACACACACACATCAAAGGGTCGACTCGCTGTGGCATACATCACCTAACCTAACCTACTTCCGTGTTTTATTTTATGTTTGCGTGTGTTTTTTGCGTGTGTTTTTGCGTGTTTTTTTTTTCTTGATCTCTTGTCAAGACGTAAGGCCAGTCCCAGTTAATGGTTGTAACGCCACATTATTACCTGAGTCTGTATTCATAAAGGATCTATTTGTTCTTTAAGTGTAAACGAGAAAGTGTATATTGTTGCGACACATTCTCATTGCAGTTACGATAATGTCCAAGTAATTATGATGGTTTGAGAACAATTACGATAGAACAATTGCGATAGTTTGAGAACAATTACGAGAGAACAATTGCGATAGTTTGTGAGCAATTACGATGGTTTGAGAACAATTACGATAGTTTGAGAATAATTACGATGGTTTCATAACAATTACGATAGTTTCATATCAACTGAGGTAGTTCAGAACAATAACGATAGACCAATTTACGATAGTTTTAAAGAAATTACGATAGTTTCAGAATAGTTGCAAGTTTGGAGAGGACAAATACATAGTAAAGGTATAATTTTGGTTAATTTAGGGTAATTAATCTTCAGGTAAAATAATCTGGGGTGTGTAATCTTCAGGTGGATGATACCACAGCGGAGACTGGCGGTAGCTCGACCTTTCTCCCCGTTGTGCCTCTGATATAAAACTCTACTTGTAAATACCACTAATTTTCTTCCAAGGACCGCAGGTAACAGGGTCTTCTTAAAGGTTCGTAGGTTCATATTTTACCTCCCTAATTACCTACCTACCTACCTACCTACCCACCCACCTACCTACCTACCAACCTACCCACCTACCTACCTACCCACCCACCTACCTACCTACCTACCTACCCACCCACCCTACCTACCCCATCTACCCACCCACCTACCTACCCACCCACCTACCTACCCCACCCACCTACCTGCCTACCTACCCACCTACCTACCCACCCACCTACCCACCACCTACCTACCCCACCCCACCCACCTACCCACCTACCTACCCACCTACCTACACACCTACCCCACCCACCTACCCCTACCTATCTACTACCTACCTACCTACCTACCCACCCACCTACCTACCTACCTACCCACACCCACCTACCTACCTACCCCTCCTGCCCTACCCCACCCACCTACCCACCCACCTACCTACCCCACCCCACCCCACCCCTGCCTACCTACCTAGTACCTACCCACCCACCTACCTACCTACCTACCTACCTACCCACCTACCCACCTACCTACCTACCCACCCACCTACCTACCTACACACTTTCCTACCTACATACCTATTTGAAGGACCATTTTCTCATCTTTGTATTAGAAGGTACGATTATTATTTACTTTCGTTCTCAATTGTTGCACCGCCTTCACTGACTGTTCTATTATGGCATATAGACTTTACTCCTTATCAATAATATTCAGAAGTGTTTAGTCACAGATGGGTTATATTTCGCTTCAATACAGTGCCATGGACATACTGATACCCATAGTGCCATATAGACATACAAACACAAAGACATAGTGCCACACAGACATGCAGACATACAGACTTACTGATATACATACATACAAACACACATACATAAGGTACAATACATACATACTGACATACACACAGTGCAATACAAGGACAATAGCATAATTACATAGTGACAGTAAAATACAGCCATACAGACATACATACTTACTGATACGGACATACAGACATGGTGGCATACAGACGTATCAAACTGTGACTATTAAGGGGGTGATATGGCTATTACACCCATGAGGGCTAGTTAAGGGGGTGATATGGCTATTACACCCCTGAGATAGACCCCCCTGAGGGCTAGTTAAAGGGGTGATTCAACTACTACACCCCTGAGATACTCCCCCCTGAGGGCTAGTTAAAGGGGTGATTTAACGACTACACCCCTGAGATACTTCCCCCTGAGGGCTAGTTAAGGGGGTAATTTAACTACTACACCCCTGAAATACTCCCCCCTGAAGGCTGGTTAAAGGGGTGATTCAACTACTACACCCCTGAGATAGTCCCCCCTGAAGGCTGGTTAAGGGGGTAAAAACTACTATCAGGTGTTAGTCGACTTGACAAGCAGTAAACACTATCCAAGTACACTTTACAAGGACGACCAGCACTGGGTGTAGGGGGGAGGGGTGTAGAGGGGTTGTAGTGGGGAGGATATGGGGTGTGGGGGAGGGAGGTGAGGAAAGAGAGAGGGAGGGAGGAGGGAGGAAGTGAAATAAACTGGGGTGTCTAATCTTCAGGTCCTCAACTAATCGGATTTAGGATGCAGTAACTACCTCACTAACATAATGAGGAAAAAGGTGTTGGTTGTGTGAGAGAGAGAGAGAGAGAGGTGTTTATAATACCGAGGGGTCATGGCTGAACACACTGTCCTGACAACCTGGAGGGTCTTGTGATCTTTTATTTACACGAGTCTGTCTGTCTATCACGACTTATTTACATCACTTTGGGTACAGTTGTGTGTGTGTGTGTGTGTGTGTGTGTGTGTTTTGATCTTAAGAGTGAAGGTATGATTCACTCTGCACTCAACTCACACACACACACACACACACACACACACACACACACACACACACACACACACACACACACACACACACACACACAGTCACACACACACACACGACATACAGTACATCTCTCATGTTTCCGTAATTACTAAAAGCTGTAACTCTATTTCACTATTTTCGACCCTATTTCACTATTTCGACCCTATTTCTATACAAGACAATAACACAATATACAATCCAATTATTTTATACAGTAATTACAAAGTTAAAGTTAACTAAACCAGTTTTATAAAACATTTTTTTTCCACTGAGAGGATTGCGTTAGATTACGTTGGGGTGTCTAATCTTCAGGTGGACTTTTTATACGTAAATCCATTAACAAACTTGAATAGGAGTTCCTTATGTAAGCTAACCTAACCCATTAACTACAGGTGTCCAGG